CTGTGATTTGTTTTGGAACCCAAAACAGAACGTGTCGCTCACAGGCGGGCTCATGGGGAAGTGGAAGTGGAGTGGAAGGCTCTAGAAGTAGACACTGCTGTCGCTCAGCCCCTCCCTGGTGGGGAGGTGGGGGCAGCCGTCTACCTGCCGGCTGCCTCCAGGCTGGCCCTGATCATGGCCGTCCTTCCTTCCTTCCTTCCTTCCTGCAGGGGGACCCGAGGACCACCTCGAGAGGCTGCTACGTGATGTGAACCCACACTCCTCATCCACACACCTTTCTTTACCCAGAGCCACTGAAAACTATTTTTATATCATTGGCTTTCTTTAGTTCTTGATACATTTCTAGAGAATTTCTAAGCAAACTGCCAGAACGTGTGGGTGGGTCTCCCCCAGCCTTCCCTCCCTTCGGGTATCCTCCAGCCTCACTTCGCTGCCACTTCACCGCTGCCCCGGAGACTTTTCAGTCCCACCCCACTCCCCATCTCACCATTTGGTCAAATTGGAAGCCCAGGGCCAGGACCCCGAGGTTTAGAAGATGCTCGGGCTTGGAGGGAGGAGGGCCGGCAAGGCTAGAGCGGGGACAGGAGACGGCCCTGATGTGGACAGAGCGCGGAAACCGCGTAGGAATTCAGTGGTGGTGGGTTTTTTGAAGGCTTTCTACAAAACCAAATTCAGAATCCAGGCGTTGACCTGGTGGGGCCGGGGGCCAAGCCTGCATTCTGGCTGCCCAGCTTCTGACAGCAGGAGCTCTTCAGGCAGCCACGCAGCGGGTGTGGAGCAGCGTGGGGGTGGCGTGGCCCCCAGGGTGGGTTTTTGCTCTGCTGCCTGGGCTTCCAGATTCCCGTTCTGACAGCCCACCGGCCGGGTTTCTCAGACCGTTGACTTTATTTGGGGGAGTTTTCCCTCAGGTCAGTTCCTGACTCTGCAGGGCCAACAGGGCAGGGGAGGGGAAGACCCGGGGAAGGAAGAATGAGGACAGTCGGGTTGTAAGACCTGTCACATTAAGCAGGGAGGGGACACAGCTGGTTGCCTCGGAGGCAGAGGCTGTGAGTTTCAGAACAGCTGTCTGCAGGGAACGCCATGTGAACTCCCTGGAGGACAGCGCTGTGGATCCCCTCCCGGGTTCCCACTCCGTCTGCCCTGCGCCTAGATACACACATGCATCTATCCATACTGTAGCTTTCATCTGTGATTTTCTCGCTGAAGCCGTGTTTCTCAGATAGGCCAAGGCCACCTGACTCCTATCATGACGCCCCCAAGGCCCTCAGTCCAGCTTCCCAACGCCTGGCACCCCCTTTGGCAATAGCTCACCGTTTACACCCTCCCTCATAGATACACAGAAGTTATTTTTTTAATGGATATTTATTTTTTTACATTGGTCAGTATGCAGGTCAGGAGCTCACGCCAGGGCCTTGAGGACAGGCTGACTCTCGTCCCCGGGGTGGTGTGGGACTGGGGGTCACTCCGACAGCAAAGCCTCCTTCAGAAAGTGCAGCTCGAGTCTTAAAGCCACCAAAACTGAGCCGCTGGCACGCGCCATCTCCAGGCCTTGGCAGGGTGGGGGCAGCACCGCTCCCCTGTCACTGTGCATCCCGCCTCCCTGGGGACTTGCCAGTGGGAGGAAGGAATGGGGGACCCCGGCCCCAGGCCGGGAAGTAGCCAGCGGCCGACAAAGCAGAAACACCCGCTGCTCCATGTAGACCCCGCCCGCTCGCTGTCCTTGCTCTCAGAAGTCCCTGTCCCATGTGGATCAAGGGGGGCATGTCTTACCAAAGCATTTCCTCCTGGAGGGGCCCGACAGGCTACCACACTGTGCTCCCAGTCAGGCAGCTGGTAGGGAGCTTTGCCCGCCCCAGGGATACCCTCTGCCAGCCACTGGAAGTGGGAGTGCTGGCCACAGACTGTCCTCTTCCCCACCTTCATGGCAGGAATCACTTGGACTCGAGTGGCCAGGCTTCGTGCCAGCGAGTGTTCTGGGGGTGGGTCTTGGTGGTCTTGTCCTGTGTGGAGTATGCAGTGGTCTCAGCCACATTTTATGTATTTTGGGCCTGGGGGAGCAAAGCTGTATCCTGGAGTTGGTCTGTAATTTGCTGACAGCTTCACAGGCTGGGCTCAGGGACAAAGTTCCCCCCCAAAACCGGCAGGTCCTGGTGTCCAGACGCTGCCCAGCCCTGTCCTGAACACAGCACGCCCCAGGTCCACAGAACCCCCCACCCTACATTTGCCTTGGGTGGAGCTGGGGGTGGTCCTAGGACTGCAGGTGCCCTTAGCTGAAGGGAGTGGGGAGAGGTGTGGACTGTGCAGCCTGTGGGTGATTGGAGGTTCATTGAGAATTGAGTCTTTGGAAACACTAAGAAAATCAAAGTTTTAAAATTTATGGCCTGGGAAACAATTTGCATTTGTCCCCAAATACGCTTAGCTGTGTGCCGCTTAGAACGATGCGAAACCATCCCTCTGTGTAAGCCCATGCTGTGACTCCAAGCCTAGCGCCCTCCCTGCGAAGCATCAGACGCCGCCCAGCCCTGGGGGGAGGCCCACGGCTGCTGGACCAACGCGGGTTCTGGGGTGCACAGCCCAAGGTTAACGCGGAAGCCTGCCCCGCTGACCCAGAATCCGATCATGCACCTGTCCTCATGCCAGCGGCTTTGGCTGGGGTTGGTCTGAGGCCTGCACGCGGCAGTTCTTTGTTAAAGATCCAAAGGACTCAGTCCTGGGGCGTCGCCGCCTGCGGCGCCTTCCAAGCCCTGCAGCCAGCGAGCGTCACAGCACCACCTGCAAACGGAGCTGGGCTGTAGCCTTGGGGCTGGCATGGACTTTCATTTCCGAGATTCGGTTTTTAAGAAAATGCATGCCAAATGTGTTGTTGTTGTTTTTTTTTTTCCCAATGATTTGTAATATACATTTTATGACTGGAAACTTTTGTACAACACTCCAATAAACATTTTGATTTTAGGTTCTGCCTCTTGAGTTTATTCCTGCACGGGGAAGCTCGAGCCGGGGCCTCTGTCCCCAATGAAGCGGATGTCTAAAACCCCTCCACCCTCAAGGAAAAGGTGACTGGCGAGTATACACAGGCCCCAGGTGATGCATGGGACCCTGCCCGTTTTTTTCTAGTGAGCCTCCGACGCTGTAGCACTAGTGGACTCTTCGTCATGTGATGCGACCGGGCTCCGCCCCGGCAGCAGCACGTAATAGAGACGCGCCGGCTGCCTCGTGCGCATGCGCGGCAGGCCTCTGGTAGGACGAGCCGGAGACAGAGCCTGTGTACAAAGTGATCGGCTTCGGCCGCACGCAGTGGCCCCCCCACTCCTCGGGCGAAGTCGGCCGCCTTCCCGCAGAGTCGCAACCACGGGTGGCTTTTGTAGGTAACGGCAGGTCCAGGCCTGCGCGTGAGCAGAGGGCCCCCCGCGCGACCTGGAATGGCCCGGGCGCGCGCGGTCTTGTGGGGGTTGTAGTCTTCCGTCCCCGCCCACGTGGACTCCGTTTCCCGTGGTGCCCCGGGCGGCCCGCTTCCGGCGCAGCTACGGGTCGGCGCACGCGGCCTCGGTCCGGTTGACTTTGCGTAGCCATGGAGGGCGGCTTCGGCTCCGATTTCGGGGGCTCCAGCAGCGGAAAGCTGGACCCAGGGCTCATAATGGAGCAGGTGAAGGTGCAGATCGCCGTGGCCAACGCGCAGGAGCTGCTGCAGGTGCGGGGCTGGCCGGGGACGGGCGCTGGGGCGAGAGGGCCACCTCTGGGGGCGGACGTCGCGGCTAAAGCCTCGCGTCTCTCCACAGAGGATGACGGACAAGTGTTTCCGGAAGTGTATCGGGAAACCTGGGGGCTCCCTGGACAACTCCGAGCAGGTGAGACCCGCGGAGGTTCGGGGCAAGGGTCGCGAGGGTCTGGATTCGAGGGGGGAGGCGTTTGCGCGTGCGCAGACTAAGGAGGCGGCGCGGCGGAGTGGCTACCGCACGCGTGCACTCTGCAGCCCGGGCGGCCTGGATCCGGGGTGAGGGAGGTCCCCGGGGGCGCGAGGTCCCGAGCTGAGCTGTGCGCCCCTCCGGTCCCGCAGAAGTGCATCGCCATGTGCATGGACCGCTACATGGACGCCTGGAACACCGTGTCCCGCGCCTACAACTCGCGGCTGCAGCGGGAACGAGCCAATATGTGACGGGCGAGGCCACGGGCCGCCCCGCCCCGTTCATTTCCATAAACGTGCTCTGAAAGGTGGGGCCCGCATGTGCGTACTGCCTGCCCGGGGCTTAGCGGGGTGGCACCGGTGCTGGGACAGACGGGACTGTGTCCTCGCCACCCCCCGCCTTGCCCCCTGCCAGCCAGTGCAGCTTGGATCTCGGGGGTGGGGGGGCCCTGTGCCTTCCCAAAGTGCTGGCAGCCCAGTGGCACCTCCTTCAGGCCTTTGGGGTCTTCCCCTAGTGGGCCCAGGTCAGCCTCATATTTTCTGGGCGGAGAACTCTTGTCTGGACTTTGGAGGTGGGGGTGGTCAGACCCCACCGGAGCTGTCACCTCCTGCGGATGGGCAAATAAATTGGAGGGCGGAGAGAAACCTCTTTATTTCCCTCCTGAGGGATCTCTGGGAAGAGTTGACGCGTGTCCCTGGAACCCCAGTTCGGAGGGTCTCAGCCTCTCTTGGGTTGGGAGAAGTCCATCTTTCCCCTTAAGTGCCACCGGGCTGCTGAGTCACGAGGAATGTGTTGTTGCCACCACCCCTGCCCCAAAGGTTAAGGGGGACAGCCCTCCCCTTATCCAGGCTTGCTTTGACCCCTCTTCCTTCCACCCGGGTCCTGTTGGAGTGCCAGGCAGGTGGTCCGCGCTGTGACACTGAGGTGCTGAGCCAGTGAGCTGGGGTGGAGCAGCTGTGTTTATTGGAACAAAGGGTGCTACCAAAATGCATCCCCATGACCTATAGCCCCCCCACACCCCCCCACTCCCGTCCTTGAGTAGGGTACAGTGAGGTGGGGTGTTGGGTGGCCTGCTGCTCCTGCTGCTTTTGCCTAGAGTCCCGGCCTGGGCAGTCACGTGGCGGTCACTCCTGGATGTGCTGTCCTATCCAGCCTCTCACAGCTGCCACCCGGGTATAGACACCTGGGAAGTGGGGCCGGCCGCAGCCATAGCCCCAGCTGGTGACCCCAGTTAGCACCCATCGTCCAGACGGCTCCCTGCAGGCCAGGGGTCCCCCAGCGTCACCCTGTTGGGGAGAGAAGCGGGGGTTCAGAGTCCGGTACCTCTCCTATAGCAGCCCTTGGGTCATTGGCCCCCGTAGGGGTGACCGTAGTGAGTGGCTTCCCTTGGAAGCTGCACTTTCACTATCTGGAAAATGGGCTCAATGCAAAGGTGGCAGACACTGATGGACACCCGCCACGTGGTCTCGGAGTGGAATGGGGCCTCCCGCTGCAGCCTGTGCCTGCTCTGCCGTTGAGGCCCAGGGGTGGGATGCGGTGGGTACCCAATAAACGGTTGTGGAGTGGAAATTCCTCCAGAGCCAAAAAGGCCCCCTGCTTGATCCTCTGGAGAAGTCTGCACCGGAGCGTGGCGCCCGGATGGTGGGCTTCGTGGCAGCGGGAACCCTCCCTCCCTGGCGGCTGGGCGGGACCTGGGCCCCTGGTCGCCCGGGCCGGGCCGGGGCTCACCGAGCAGCTGTCCACGCCGCCCTGCGGGAAGCCGGCACACAGCATGCGGCTGCTGATCTGCACCGGGTAGAAGCGGCGGCAGGTCTGCTCGCTGAGGAGGCGCACGGCAGCCTTCTGCAGCTGCCGCGCCATGGAGCCTGTGGACCAGCGAGACGAGGCGGGTGGGGACCCCGTCCGGCTGCCGCCCTGCACCCCGCACCACCCCGGCCCCGGGCGCGCCTACCTCCTTCGCGCACCGAGCCCCATCCGGTGATGACGCAGCGCGCACCGTCTGGGGGTCGCGGCACGGGCTCGGGCAGGCAGATGGGGCGCACCAGGCGGCTGCGGCGCACCGGCCCCGCCAGCTCCAGCAGCGCCACGTCGTAGTCAAGCGTGTAGAGATTGTAGAACGGGTGCTTGTAGATGCGCGCCACGCGCTCCAGCTGCCCCTCCGCGCCGCTCAGGAACGGCGTGCCTAGGAAGGCCGCCCACTGCTTGGGGTCCCCGTAGCTGGAGGGCGCGCGAGGACAGGCGTCGGCCAGAGCCCCCGCGCCCCCGGCCCCTGCGGTGTCCCCCAGGGGCCGACCAGGGTTCTTGGCCTCTTGGTCTCTGGCTGCCAGTCTGGGAATGGGCTCAGTGTCCCCCACCAGGCACCGAGGCAGCACCAAGAATTGCAGTCATCACCACCTAATATTAGCGCTCTGAAAATATTGGTGGCCGTGAGGGTCCACCCCCCGCTCCACTTCTGACCTCGAGCCCCGCAGGGCCCGGAGCTGGGTGTCCCCTCTGGAATACCGTACCCCTCGCCTGCCAGGGCTTGGGCCCGGGGGAGGACAGCTTTCTACTGGGTGGGCTTTGGCGGGGGCTGGAGCTAAGTGCCAGGGGCGAGGGCTGGGGAAAGAAGTGACCCCAATGTCCCCGTGGGCTTGGCCTGGAGCTGGGAGGGGCTGCAGCCCCCGGTTAGGTGGGGACCGCGGGGTAGGACAGCCCAGGGTGGTCAGGCTGAGGGGAGGGTGGGCAGGCTGAGGGGAGGGTGGGCAGGCTGAGGGGTCTCCGGCCTAGAAGCAGGTGATGCACAGCCACCGCCCGCCGTCTCCTGGCCCGACCTCTGGGCCCTGTCCTGATGTGCGGGCGCGGTTTCTGGCCTCTGGCAGTGGATGGAGCCTCGGGCGCTTGGGAGCCCTTCCTCCCGCCCCAAGGCGCCCCATGCCCAGGCCTGGTCTCTGCCCCAGTTCATGGTGTGAGGGCCCTCTCCCGTAGTCCCAGGATCACCCGGGCCTTGTGATCAGGGCTGCCCTGACCTTCGCCCGCCTCCAGCGCGCCGCTGAGGATCGATCCGGAGCTGAGGAGGCCATGGCTGGGAGCGACAAGTTCCGAAGATGCTGGACGCCAAGGAGCAAGAGATGATGAGATGCGGACGTGTGATGGCAGCAGCTGGCCGAACACCGGGAGCTGCTGGACGGTGGAAGCTGGCCTGGACATGAGATCAACGCCACCGGAAGCTTCGGAGGGCGAGGAGAGAGGTGCGGCAGGCCTGGGGCTTGGGAGCGCGGAGCGAGGAGAGGGGCGGGGCAGGAGGAGAGGCGAGACGGGGCTGCTGGGAGTGCTGGGCAGGGGTGGAGGTGGCCAGGGCCAGCGGCCACCACCTGCGTGGCCCTGCCACCTGGGGCCACCACCAGTCCTGCCCCTCTTGCCTTCCCCACATGAAGCTGTCTCAGCCCATCCTCGCGCGGCCACCGTCTCACGAGCCACCTCGGCAGCAGCGGCAGCAGCACGGCTGCACACTTGGCGCCTGGGCCGCAAAGTGGAAGAGGCTGAGGAGGAGCCCTTGGGCAGCCGGCCTGTGCCGCCCTGGCACGGGCACGGTGGTGGTGGCGGTTTACCTGGGCCTCAGCAGGCCTCGGCCTCGGGGCAGTGTCAGCACGAGGAGATCGACTCTGGGAGGGCAAGTTCGCGGCAGCCTGGCCAACAACTCTGACAAGGTGACCGAGTGACTGGACGGGTAACGGGTGACCTAGGCTGGTGGGGGTGACCAGGGTCAGGGTGATGGGGCCACCGCCAATGCCAGAGGCAGGGGGATAAGGTGACCGGAATGACCGGGCATGGGTAACGGCACCAGCTGGTAGGGGTGACCAGGGTCAGGACGGGGCCACCAGCCAGGGCGCGATCGGGCGATGTCCCAGTCCTGGGTGGCTGAGGGTCAGGTGTGTGCGCCTGTGTCTTCCAGGATCAGTCTCTGTGAACTGGAGAATTAAGAGGCAGATCTTGGAGGGGAGGAGATCGCTACAAGTCACCCAAGTACGCCCCATCAGATGGTCAGCGGTAGGTGGTGGGGCAGAGGAGGAAGCAGGGTGGTTACATGATGGATGTGAGGGGCCAGGGGGCTGAGAGAGCAGGACTTGGTAGGGGGTAGGGATGGTGGTGGGTACCCAGGCACTGCTCCAAGAGCAGCTGCTACAGTTATAGAACCTCCATGCACAGTGTCGCTCCCACTGGGCCTCCCCTGAGTTCGAGCTGTGTGTCTGGTCTGAGTCCAGGCCATTGGGCTGGCAGGCGTCCCTGAAGTGTAACACAACGGCATGGGCCATGGAGCCTGGTGGGCATCATATCCCAGCTCAGCCCTGCTTGCCAAGAGAAGCTCTGGTCTTTCTGTATCCTGGGGGCCATCGCCCTGGATGTGCCTGCGCTGGCCAAGGACGGAAAATGCCCAGACATTGAAGGGCATTGAAGGGGCTAAAAGGGTGAGAGCCAGTGGCTGACCCTAGCATGTCCCTGAACCAGAGGGACCCTGACGGCCATTGTTCCTGGGTCCCCAGGTGTGGGGCCGCTGGTGCTGGGGGTGGGCTCTACAGTCCTCTCGACGCTGGTGTGGAAGGGCCAGAGCAGCTGGGCACGGGCGAGAGTCGCACCGTCCCGGGTTAACGCGGATGGCGAGGCAGGTGCCCAGCTGGGGGGTGCTGGCTAGAGTCCTGAGCGGGGCCTGGGGACTCAGGCCATGGCAGCTCTGGCCTGATCCTGACGCGCCAAGGCGTCCTGTCCCACACAGGCTGCGAGGACTGTGTGGGAAGCAGTCCTCAGTGGTGCTGAGAATGAGAATGGGGAGGAAGAGGAGATAGCTTACAGTTCAAGTGAGATATCTTTTCTAATAACAGGTAGACCCTGTGCCACTTGCGGCTGGGCAGCCTGGCAGAGTGAGCTCCTTCTGCACGCACACACACGTGCGCTTGCTGACACGCGGAGCCTCTGGCTGCCGTGTGGTTCAGGTGGCCAGCCTTGGCTGCTGCTGTGGCACGGCAGAGACCTGTTCTTGCCTCCTGGGTCTACTCGGCTGCGTGGATTTGCAACATCACAGACCTCAGGGTAGCGGGCCAGGGGGTCTCTGAGAGTTGGGTGCTGAACAGCTCTCAGATGCTCTCTGGTCAACCAGACTCTCAGTCGAAGATACAGGTCCTTCAATATTGGCTTTGGGGAGAAGATGAGCGCCAAAAGCCACACTGCGTAAATGCATGTATCGCAAGATTCCTGCAGGATTTGTTTTGGAACCCAAACAGAACGTGAGCCGCTTACAGGCGGCTCATGGGGAAGTGGGCGGAGGCTCTAGAAGTAGACACTGCTGTCGCTCGTGCCCTCCCTGGTGGGAGAGGGGGGGCAGCCGCCTACCTGCCGGCTGCCTCCAGGCTGGCCCTGATCAGCGCCGCCCTTCCTTCCTTCTCCCTTCCTGCAGGGGGACCCGAGGACCACTGAGGCTGCTACGTGATGTGAACCCACACTCCTCATCCACACACCTTTCTTTACCCAGAGCCACTGAAAACTATTTTTATATCATTGGCTTTCTTTAGTTCTTGATACATTTCTAGAGTAATTTCTACAAACTGCCAGAACGTGTGGGTGGTTCCCAGCCTTCCTCCTTCGGGTATCCTCCAGCCTCACTTCGCTGCCACTTCACCGCTGCCCCGGAGACTTTTCAGTCCCACCCCACTCCCCATCTCACCATTTGGTCAAATTGGAAGCCCAGGGCCAGGACCCCGAGGTTTAGAAGATGCTCGGGCTTGGAGGGAGGAGGGCCGGCAAGGCCAGAGCGGGACAGTGAGACGGCCCCTGATGTGGGACAGAGCGCCGGGAAACCGCTGTGAGGAAATCAGTGGTGGGGTTTTGAAGGCTTCTCTTTACAAACCAAATTCAGAAATCCAGGCGTTGACCTGGTGGGCCGGGGCCAAGCTCTGCATTCTGGCTGCCCAGCTTCTGACAGCAGGAGTTTCTTTCAGGCAGCTACGCAGCGGGTGTGGAGCAGCGTGGGTGGCGTGGCCCCCAGGGTGGTTTTGCTCTGCTGCCTGGGCTTCCAGATTCCCGTTTCTGACAGGCCCACCGGCCGGGTTTCTCAGACCGCTGACTTTATTTGGGGAGTTTTCCTCAGGTCAGTTCCTGACTCTGCAGGCCAACAGGGCAGGGGAGGGGAAGACCTGGGAAGGAAGAATGAGGACAGTCATTGTAAGACCTGTCACATTAAGCAGGAGGGGACAGTTGCAGCTGGTTGCCTCGGAGGCAGAGGCTGAGTTTCCAGAACAGCTGTCTCAGGGAACGCCTGCGTGAACTCCTGAGGACAGCGCTGTGGATCCTCCCGGGTTCCCCACTCCGTCTGCCCTGCGCCTAGACACACATGCATCTATCCATACTGTAGCTTTCTATCTGTGATTTTCTCACAAGCAGCCAGACAGGCCAAGGCCACCTGACTCCTATCATGACGCCCCAAGGCCCTCAGTCCAGCTTCCCAAACGTCACACCTCCCTTTGGCAATAGCCTACCGCTTTACACTCCCTCTCCCTCTATAGATACACAGTTATTTTTTTAATGATTATTTATTTTTTTACATTGGTCATATGCAGGCCAGAGCCTATTGCCAGGCCTTGAGGACAGGCTGACTCGCCCCGGGTGGTGTGGGACTGGGGGTCACTCCGGCTACAAAGCCTCCTTCAGAAAATGCCTGAGTCTTAAAGCCACCAAAACTGAGCCGGCTGGCACGCGCCGTCTCCAGGCCTTGGCAGGGGTGGGGCAGCACCGCCTCCCCTGTCACTGTGCATCCCGCCTCCTGGGACTTGCCAGTGAGGAAGGAATGGGGGACCTCGGCCCCAGGCTGAAGAAGTAGCCAGCGGCCGACAAAGCAGAAACACCCGCTGCTCCATGTAGACCCCGCCCGCTCACAAGGTCCTTGCTCTCAGAAGTCCCTGTCCCATGTGGATCAAGGGGGCATGTCTTACTAAAGCATTTCTCCTGGAGGGGGCCCGACAGGTCACTGCCACACTGTGCTCCCAGTCAGGCAGCTGGTAGGGAGCTTGCCCGCTCCCAGGGGATACCCTCTGCCAGCCACTGAAGTGGGGAGGCTGGCTACAGACTGTCCTCTTCCCACCTTCATGGCAGGAATCACGCACCCGAGTGGCCAGGCTTCGTGCCAGCGAGTGTTCTGGGGGTGGGTCTTGGTGGTCTTGTCCTGTGTGGAGTATGCAGTGGTTCTAGCCACATTTTATGTATTTTGGGCCTGGGGAGCAAAGCTGCATCTCTGGAGTTGGTCTGTAATTTGCTGACAGCTTCACAGGCTGGGCTCAGGGACAAAGTTCCCCCCCAAAACCGGCAGGTCCTGGTGTCCAGACGCTGCCCAGCCCTGTCCTGAACACAGCACGCCTATGTCCACAGAACCCCCACCCTACATTTGCCTGGGTGGAGCTGGGGGTGGTCCTAGATCACTGCAGGTGCTCCTTTTAGCTGAAGGGAGTGGGGAGAGGTGTGGACTGTGCAGCCTGTGGGTGATTGGAGGTTCATTGAGAATTGAGTCTTTGGAAACACTAAGAAAATCAAAGTTTTAAAATTTATGGTCAGAAACAATTTGCATTTGTCCTCAAATACGCTTAGCTGTGTGCCGCTAGAACGATGCTAAAACTATCCTCTGTGTAAGCCCATGCTGTGACTCCAAGCCTAGCGCCTCCGCGAAGCATCAGACGCCGCCCAGCCCTGGGGAGGCCTCCACGGCTGCTGGACCAACGCGGGTTCTGGGGGTGCACAGCCCAAGGTTAACGCGAAGCCTGCCCCCGCTGAGGCCAGAGCCAGGAGGCCTGCGGGCTGACCCAGAATCCGATCATGCACCTGTCCTCATGCCAGCGGCTTTGGCTGGGGTTGGTCTGAGGCCTCACGCGGGCAAAGTTCTTTGTTAAAGATCCAAAGGACTCAGTCCTGGCGCGCGGCTCGCGGCGCCTTCCAAGCCCCAGCCATGAGCGCCACAGCACCACCTGCAAACGGAGCTGGGCTGTGAAGCCCCTGGGGCTGGCATGGACTTTCATTTCCGAGATTCGGTTTTTAAGAAAATGCATGCCAAATGTGTTGTTTTTTTTTTTTTCCAATGATTTGTGAATATACATTTTATGACTGGAAACTTTTTGTACAACACTCCAATGTAAACATTTTGATTTTAGGTTCTGCCTCTTGAGTTTATTCTCGCAATGGGAAGCTCGAGCTGGGCCTCTGTCCCCAATGAAGCGGATGTCTAACCCCTCCACCCTCAAGGAAAAGGTGACTGGCGAGTACACACAGGCCCCAGGTGATGCATGGGACCCTGCCTGGGTTTTTTTCTCAGTGAGCCTGACGCTGTAGCACTAGTGGACTTCTTCGCTGGCGTGATGCGACCGCTCCGCCCCCGGCAGCAGCACGTAACAGAGACGCGCCGGTTGCCCCGTGCGGCATGCGCGGCAGGCCTCTGCAGGACGAGCCGGAGACAGAGCCTGTGTACAAAGTGATCGGCTTCGTCACGCAGGGCCCCCCACTCCTCGGCGAAGTCGGCCGCCTTTCCCGCAGAGTCGCAACCACGGGTGGCTTTTTGTAGGTAACGGCAGGTCCAGGCCTGCGCGTGAGCAGAGGGCCCCCCGCGCGACCTGGAATGGCCCTGGCGCGCGCGGTCTTGTGGGGGTTGTAGACTTCCGTCCCCGCCCACGTGGACCTGGGTTTCCCGTGGTGCCCGGGCGGCCCGCTTCCGGCGCAGCTACGGGTCGGCGCACGCGGCCTCGGTCCGGTTGACTTTGCGTAGCCATGGAGGGCGGCTTCGCCCGATTTCGGGGCTCCAGTGGAAAGCTGGACCCAGGGCTCATAATGGAGCAGGTGAAGGTGCAGATCGCCGTGGCCAACGCGCAGGAGCTGCTGCAGGTGCGGGGCTGGCCGGGACGGGCGCTGGGCGAGAGGGCCACCTCTGGGGGCGGACGTCGCGGCGAAGCCTCGCGTGTCTCCACAGAGGATGACGGACAAGTGTTTCCGGAAGTGTATCGGGAAACCTGGGGGCTCCTGACAACCTGAGCAGGTGAGACCCGCGGAGGTTCGGGGCAAGGGGTCGCGAGGTCTGGATTCGAGGAGGCGTTTGCGCGTGCGCGATTCAAGGAGGCGGCGCGGCGAGTGGCTACCGCACGCGTGCACTCTGCAGCCCGGGCGGCCTGGATCCGGGGTGAGGGAGGTCCCCGGGGGCGCGAGGTCCATTGAGCTGTGCGCCCCTCCGGTCCCGCAGAAGTGCATCACGTGCATGGACCGCTACATGGACGCCTGGAACACCGTGTCCCGCGCCTACAACTCGCGGCTGCAGCGGAACGGAGCCAATATGTGACGGCGAGGCCACGGGCCGCCCCTGCCCCGTTCATTCTCATAAACGTGCTCTGGAAGGTGGGGCCTGCATGTGCGTACTGGTTCTTGCCTGGGGCTTAGCGTGGGTGGCACTGGTGCTGGGACAGACGGAACTGTGTCCCTGCCACCCCGCCTCTTGCCCCTGCCAGCCAGTGCAGCTTGATCTCGGGGTGGGGGCCCTGTGCCTTTCCTGAAGTGCTGGCAGCCCAGTGGCACCTCCTTCCAGGCCTTTGGGTCTTCCCCTAGTGGGCCCAGGTCAGCCTCAAATATTTTCTGGTGGAGAACTCTTGTCTGACTTTGGGAGGTGGGGGTGGTCAGACCTCACCGAGCTGTCACTTCCTCCTGCGGATGGGCAAATAAATTGGAGGGCGGAGAGAACTCTTATTTCCCTCCTGAGGGATCTCTGGGAAGAGTTGACGCGTGTCCCTGGAACCCCAGTTCGGAGGGTCTCAGCCTCTCTTGGGTTGGGAGAAGTCCATCTTTCCCTTGGCGCCACCGGGCTGAGTCACGAGGAATGTGTTGTTGCCACCACCCCTGCCCCAAAGGTTAAGGGGGACAGCCCTCCCCTTATCCAGGCTTGCTTTGACTCCTTCCTTCCACCCGGGTCCTGCTGGAGTGCCAGGCAGGTGTGGTCCGCGCTGTGACACTGAGGTGCTGAGCCAGTGAGCTGGGGTGGAGCAGCTGTTTATTGAACAAAGGGTGCTACCAAAATGCATCCCCATGACCTATAGCCCACCCCCACTCCCGGCCCCTGAGTAGGGTACAGTGAGGGGGTCTTGGGTGGCCTGGGTTGCTCCTGCTGCTTTTGCCTAGAGTCCTGCCTGGGCAGTCACGTGGGCGGTCACTCCTGGATGTGCTGTCCTATCCAGCCTCACAGCATGGGCACCTGCACACCTGGGAAGTGGGGCCGCCGCAGCCATAGGCCCCAGCTGGTGACCCCAGTTAGCACCCATCATTCAGACGGTTCCCTGCAGGCCAGGGGTCCCCCAGCGTCACCCTGTTGGGGAGAGAAGCGGGGGTTCAGAGTCCGGTACCTCTCCTATAGCAGCCCTTGGGTCATTGGTCTCGTAGGTGACCGTAGTGAGTGGCTTCTGGAAGCTGCACTTACCATCTGGAAAATGGGCTCAATGCAAAGGTGGCAGACACTGATGGACACCCGCCACGTGGTCTCGGAGTGGAATGGGGCCTCCCGCTGCAGCCTGTGCCTGCTCTGCCGTTGAGGCCCAGGGGTGGGATGCGGTGGGCACCAATAAACGGTTGTGGGAGTGGAAATTCCTCCAGATCCAAAAAGGCCCCCTGCTTGATCCTCTGGAGAAGTCTGCACCGGAGCGTGGCGCCCGGATGGTGGGCTTCGTGGCAGCGGGAACCTCCTCGCTGGCGGCGGGCGGGACCTGGGCCCTGGTCGCCCGGCCGGCCGGGCCTCACCGAGCAGCTGTCCACGCCGCCCCAGTGGGAAGCCGGCACACAGCCATGCGCTGATCTGCACCGGGTAGAGGCGTGCAGTGGTCTGCTCGCTGAGGAGGCGCACGTGCCTCCTGCAGCTGCTGCTGGCCATGGAGCCTGTGGACCAGCGAGACGCAGGCGGGTGGGGACCCTGGTCCGGCTGCCGCCTGCACCCCGCACCACCTCGCCCCGGGCGCGCTTGCCTCTTCACAAGCACCGAGCCCTATCCGGATGACGCAGCGCACTCCGTCTGGGGCGCGGCACGGGCTCGGGCAGGCAGTGATGGGGCGCGACCCAGGCGGCCAGGCGCACCGCCCCGCCAGCCTCCAGCAGCGCCACGCGAGGTCAAGCGTGTAGAGATTGTAGAACGGGTGTTGTAGATGCGCGCCACGCGCTTCCAGCTGCCCCCTCCTCCGCGCCGCCTCAGGAACGGCGTGCCTAGGAAGGCCGCCCCACTGCTTGGGGTCCCCGTGAGCTGGAGGGCGCGCGAGACAGGCGGCCGGCCAGAGCCCTCACGCCCGGCCCCCTGCGTGTCCCCCAGGGCCGACCAGGGTTCTTGGCCTCTTGGTCTCCTGGCTGCCAGTCTGGGAATGGGCCCAGTGTCCCCCACCAGGCACCGAGGCAGCACCAAGAATTGCAGTCATCACCACCTAATATTAGCGCTCTGAATATTGGTGGTCATGGAGGGTCCCACCTCCGCTTCCACTTCTTGACTCGAGCCGCAGGGCCCGGAGCTGGGTGTCCCTTCGGGGAATACCGTACTCTCGCTCTGCCAGGGCTTGGGCCCGGGGGAGGACAGCTTACTGGGTGGGCTTTGTGGCGGGGGCTGGAGCAAGTGCCAGGGGCCACTGGGAAAGAAGTGACCTCACTGTCCCCGTGGGCTTGGCCTGAGCTGGGAGGGGCTGCAGCCCCGGTTAGTGGGGACCGCTGCAGGACAGCCCAGGTGGTCAGGCTGAGGGGAGGGCAGGCTGAGGGGGAGGGGTGGGCAGGCTGAGGTGGTGGGCAGGCTGAGGGGAGGGTGGGCAGGCTGAGGGGTGGGTGGGCAGGGGAGGGCTGCAGGGAGTGGGGATGGGGGTGGGAGGAGCAGCCTGGGGCAGTGGGAGCTGGGGTCGGGGAGGGTACTCCGGCAAAAGAGGGTGTCACGGTGCGTTTTCGGGCAATAGTTCGGTTCCAGGTGAGCTACAGACACGTACAGGGGCATTTGGAGCGTTTGGGACTCACACGTCGAAGCAGTGCGCCGCTGACAGCAGCCACCTCTCTGCCACCAGCACGGCCCCGCAGCGGTGTTCCCGGCGCCGCAGCCACAGGCTCACCTGCCACGGCCACTCCCCGCGGCCCGCTGCGCTGCCGCCCACAATCCTGCTGAGCGCCGCCGGCGCCAGGCCGCAGTCTGCGGAGGGAGCCAGGCGCATGGGCAGGTGGACCCAGGGCGCCGCCCCTCCGTGAATTCCCCTGGGAGCCCCGGATGCGCGGGTGGACCTGCCCCAGGAAAACTCGGCAGGAAAGGATGCTGGGCCTGCTGCTTGGTCTTTGGGCTTTTCTCAAATAACATTGGAAATGCATTTGTTTCCTGTGACTTCAGCTTTGGGACCACACCTTCTCCCCTGCCGGGGCCAGGCCGAAAGCCCCTCTCATGGCAGCCTCCCACATCTCCGTCCTCCAGAAGTTCCCTCCCACCCCAAGGCCTTTGCACATACCAGGGCCCTGACCCAGAGGCCCCAGCCCTGCCTTGGCACTCTGCCTGGATCCCTGATGGCCTCCGAGCCCTCCCCAGACGGTGCCAAGTGCAAAGGCCTTCCTGAGAACACAGCTGTGGCAAGAATACATGGGGTGGTTGCCGGGGGGCTTCAGGAACCCCGTTACCACCCATGGAGGGGACCCGTACCCACCTGCTGTCTCCAGACGGCCATTTTCCTCCTCAGGGGCGAGCCCCCCTCCCCGCCCTCTGTCACCACCCAGCTGGCTTCCCTGGGTGCCCCCTTCCCCCTGTGCCACCCGCAGCAGATACCAAGGTCGGCAAGGGGAACTGCCAGTTCCCCACCAGCCGGGGCACCATCTGGCCCTGACCCAAGACCAGGTGGCCTTGGGAAATGTGACAGCAGCCGCAGCCCCTGTCCTTGGGAACGCCAGCTGCCTCCACACAGAACCTGCCTGTATTTCAAGGCGGGGCTTCTCCACCTCTTTTGGACCCAAGGAAGTGGGCCCTGGGAAGGCCATAGCTATTGAAAAAGGAAAAATCAAAAAACTAGCCGGGCGAGGTGGCGGCGCCTGTGGTCCCAGCTGCTCGGGAGGCTGAGGCAGGAGAATGGTGTGAACCCGGGAGGTGGAGCTTGCAGTGAGCTGAGATCTGGCCACTGCACTCCAGTCCGGGCTACAGAGCCAGACTCCGTCTCAAAAAAAAAAAAAGAAAAAGGAAAAATCAGCTCAGACTGAGAAAGTGACAGCCCCCAGGCTGCGGGGACAGACCCACATGAGGGCAGCTGCCAGGTTCACAAGAAACACTCACCCAAGGACGTGGCACTGCTGTGAACCATCAAAGCCCCTGCTTTCATTTTATTTTTATTTTTTTAGAGACGGGCTGTGTCACCCAGGCTGGAGTGTAATGGTGTGATCTCGCTACACTGCAGCCTCTGCTTCCTGAGCTCAAATAATTCTCCTGTCTCAGCCTCCCCAGTGGCTGGAACCACAGGCGTACACCATCACACCTGGTTTTATTTTTATTATTGAGATGGGAGTCGCTCTGTCACCCAGGCTGGAGTGCAATGACACGATCTAGGCTCACTGCAACCTGCCTCCTGGGTTCAAGCGATTCTCCTGCCTCAGCCTCCCGAGTAGCTGGGACTACAGGCGCCCGCCGCCGCCCCCGGCACCCTTTTTTTTTTTTTTTTTTTTTTTTTTTGGTAGAGATGGGGTTTCACTATGTTGGCCAGGCTGATCTGGAACTCCTGACCTCAGGCGATCCACCCACCTTGGCCTACCAAAGTGCTGGGATTATAGGCGTGAGCCACTGCGCCCGGCCACAGAGGATGTTGTGTCTTGTTTGGCAGCCCGGGCTGATTCACATGGTACCCTCCACTCCCAGGGGTCCCTCCGTCTCTCTGGGTACCTGGTAGCTGGGAGTGCGTGGTGGCCTCCAGGACATCTGGAAATGGCATCTGTCCCCTAGCAGTGGTGCTCATGGCAGATAAGGCTGAGTTGGCAGGTTGGCCCGTCACCCTGCTGGCGGCCCCAGGGGTGGGTCTGCTGGGTGTGGCCCCCAGGACCGTGAGGCCAGCTGTCGTCCTGGGGGGATGGCTGGTGGTGGCCAGTGTCCTTGTGGTCGAGGGGGGAGACACGGGAAGGGGCTGAGAGGACATGATCTCCAGGATCCAGCCCTTTAGCCTGGTGATGCGCGTGTAGACGCCCGGCTTCTTAACCTGAGCGCAGCCAATACCCCAGCTCACGATCCCTGCCAGATAAAACACGCCGGGGGCCTCCTCACAGGCCAGGGGGCCCCCAGAGTCACCCTAGAAAGGAAGGAAAGAGCACTGGTTGGTCCTCCAGGGACCCTCTCTTCCTGGCACTGCCATAGCCTCCTGTGTTCCCACTGTGGGTGGGCCCCATCGAGGGCGGGGGGGCAGAGGGCACACCACCTGGCCTGGCCTCAACATTTTTTTCAAGATAAAAAGCTATTATGAATTGCCCACTGATACAGAGAGTATTTTTAAATAGAGAGTATGATTATATAGAGAGTATGATTAAAAAATAGAATACAGGCTGGGCACGGTGGCTCAAGCCTGTAATCCCAGCACTTTGGGAGGCCGAGACAGGCAGATCACGAGGTCAGGAGATCGAGACCACCCTGGCTAACACGGTGAAACCCCGTCTCTACTAAAAAATACAAAAAACTAGCCAGGCGAGGTGGCGGGTGCCTGTAGTCCCAGCTACTCGGGAGGCTGAGGCAGGAGAATGGCGTAAACCCGCCAGGAGGTGGAGCTTGCAGTGAGCTGAGATCCAGCCCTGCACTCCAGCATGGGCGACAGGCAGAACTCATCTCAAAAAAAAAAAAAAAAAAAATACAATATAATGAATACATAGGAAGAAAAGACTATGCAAGACACTGATCTGCAACACTCCTAGAAGATGATAGTATCATTAGGCTTCTCCACTTTACGTATGAGGATCAGAGGCCCAGAGAGAAGGTTGAGGAGCACTTGCCTGAGGATCACCCACAGCAGTTGAAGCAGGATTTGTCAGAATCCTGGTTTGAGAACTTGAGGCTGGGTGAAGTTTCCATTGCAGGTTATTTACCACCTTTCTTTTAACTACTGCCAAAAAAAAAAAAAAAAAAAAATACAATATAATGAATACATAGGAAGAAAAGACTATGCAAGACACTGATCTCACAACACTCCTAGAAGATAGGCATCATTAGGCTTCTCACTTTACGTATGAGGATCAGAGGCCCAGAGAGGTTGAGGCACTTGCCTGGGGTCACACAGCAGTTGAAGCAGGATTTGAACTCAGGAGTCTGGTTTGAGAACTTGGGCTGGGTAAGTTTCCATTGCAGGTTATTTACCACCTTTCTTTTAACTACTGCCTATGAATGGGCATTTACACTGTCATTGGTATTTTGTATTGATTAGTAATAATGGCATCTTTTTTTTTTTTTTTTTTTTTTTTTTTGAGACGGAGTCTCGCTCTGTCCCCCAGGCTAGCGTGCCGTGGCTGGATCTCAGCTCACTGCAAGCTCCGCCTCCTGGGTTTACACCATTCTCCTGCCTCAGCCTCCCGAGTAGCTGGGACTACAGGCGCCCGCCACCTCGCCCGGCTAGTTTTTTTTTGTATTTTTTAGTAGAGACGGGGTTTCACCATGTTAGCCAGGATGGTCTCGATCTCCTGACCTCGTGATCCGCCCTTCTCGGCCTCCCAAAGTGCTGGGATTACAGGCTTGAGTCACCGCGCCCGGCCTAATAATGGCATCTAACTTTGAGAGTTACTCTTGAAATCTGATGCCTTGGCCGGGCGCGGTGGCTGACGCCTGTAATCCCAGCACTTTGGGAGGCCGAGACGGGCGGATCACAGCAGCAGCCGAGATCGCAAGGTCAGGAGATCGAGACCATCCTAGCAGCTACGACGAAACCCGTCTCTACTAAAAATACAAAACTAGCCGGGCGTGTGGCGGCGCCTGTAGTCCCAGCTACTCGGGAGGCTGAGGCAGGAGAATGGTGTAAACCCAGGAGCCCGGAGGCTTGTGGTAGGCCGAGTTCGTGCCACCTGCACTCCAGCCTGGGCGACAGAGCAAAGACTCCGTCTCAAAAAAAAAAAAAAAAAAAAAAAAAAAAAAGAAATAAGTGCCTTTTTTTTTTTTTTTAGGCAAAGTCTTGCTCTGTTGCCCAGGCTGGAGTGCAATGCTCACTGGAACCTCGCCTCCTGGGCTCAAGCAATGCTGTCTGCCTCAGCCTCTTCGAGCAGCTGGAATTACAGTACCGCCACCTTTCCTGGATAATTTTTGTATTTTTTTAGTAGAGATGGAGTTTCGCCATGTTGGCCAAGCCAGTCCTGAACTGCCTACCTCAGGTGATCTGTCTACCTCGGCCTCCCAAATTGCTGGGATTACAGGCAGGAGCCACTGCACCTCCCTTTGTTTTTTGAGACAGGGTGTTGCCGTGTCACGGGATGGAATGCAGTGGTGTGATCACGGTTTGCTGCAGCCTGGGAACACACAGGCTCAAGAGATTCTCCCACTTCAGCTGCCCAGGCTGGGACCGACTTTGCACCACTCTGCTGAATTTTACTTTTGTAAAGGCGGGGTCTCACTATGGCATGTCAGACTGGTTTGCAGTCCTGGCCTCAGCAATCCTACCTCAACCTCCTGAAGCACTGGAATCCCACAGGCGCATGAGCCTGCACCCAGCCGGAAAATTAACCTCTGTCTTTGCATGCATGGTTGAGCCCTTCAGAAATCTGAGCATGGTGGCTATGGCTGGGCGCAGTGGCTCAGTCCTGCAATCCTAGCAGTCTGGGAGGCCAGGGCGGGCAGATTACCTGAAGTCAGGAGTTCAGGGACCAGCCACACCTGGCCAACATGGTGAAACCCGTTTCTACTAAAAATAAAAATTAGCTGGGCGTGGAGGCCTGTGCTGTAGTCCCAACTCCTCCAGAGGCTGAGGCAGAAGAATCCTTGAACCCAGGAGGCAGAGGTTGCAGTGAGCCAAGATCATGCCACTATACTCCAGCCTGGGCAACAAAGCAAGACTCCATCTCAAAAAAAAAAAAAAAAAAATCCTAGGTTAGATGCCAGGTGGCTCCGCCTGTAATCCCAGCACTTTGGGAGGCCCAGGCAGTCATATCACGAGGTCAGGAGATCAAGGCATCCGGGCCAACATGGTGAAACCCCATCTCTACTAAAAATACAAAAATATGGTGGCACATGCCTGTAATCCCAGCTACTCGGGAGCCTGAGGCAGGAGAATCACTTGAACCCGGGAGGCGGAGGTTGCAGTGAGCCGAGATCGTGCCACTTTCCTCCAGCCTGGGTGACAGGCAAGACTCCGTCAGAAAGACAAAGAGAGAAGGAAAGGGGGGAGGGAAGGGAAGGGAGGGGTGATATCTGGAGTCCTGTACACAGAACTGCCAGGTGAGCAGTGTGGGCATTTCATCTAAATACTGCCCGGTTTCCCAGCAGAGATCTTACCTGGCAGGAGTCAACTTTGCCTTCAGGAAGCCGAGCGCAGATCATGCGGTCTGCAGGGAAAGTTGTAGAGCACGCTACAAGGTCTTCTGGTCTATGATGCCCACAGACGCCTTCTGCAGGAGCTCGGGCTTAGTGGCTACCGGGAAAGAGCCCAGAAGCGCGCCACTTGCAGAGTGATCATCAAACAGTTCTGGTTGGGTCCGATAACAGTGCCGAGATACCACAGCATCCCACACAGACAAAGAAACGGAGCTCTGAGTTGCAGGAATCACACAAAGCCACAGAGTGAGAAGGAGGTGGGCCTTGGATTCCCTCACTCAGAAGCATAAGAGTCTCCCCACTGTCCCCATGGGGCTGCCGCCCCAGCACCTGGGTAATGTGCAGGAGGCCATTCTGAGGTCAAGGGAAGCATTAACTGTTGGGGTGGGACGTTTGCTTTTTTTTTTTTTTGAGACGGAGTTTCACTCTTTTTGCCCAGGCTGGACGCAATGGCGTGATCTCAGCTCACCACAACCTCCGCCTCCCGGGTTCAAGTGATTCTCCTGCCTCAGCCTCCTGAGTAGCTGGGATTACAGGCGCACGCCACCACACCGGGCTAATTTTTGTATTTTGAGATGGGCTTTCCACCATGTCCAGCAGGCTGGTCTCGAACTACTGGCCTCAAGTGAGCCGCCAATCTCGGCCTCCCAAAATGCTGGGATTATAGGCGTGAGCCACCGCACCCAGACAATTTTTGTATTTTTTTAGTAGAGACGAGGTTTCTCCCTGTTGGCCAGGCTGGTCTTAAACTTCTGACTGCAAGAGATCCACTGGCTGAAGCCTCCCCAAGTGATGGGATTACAGGTGTGAGCCTCCGCATGTGGCTGCCAACAAACGTTTTCTCGTATGGTCAGAGAATTTAAATATTTTTTTGCTTTAGGCCAGGTGCGGTGGCTCACGCCTGTAATCCCAGCACTTTGGGAGGCCGAGACGGGCGGATCACGGGTCAGGAGATCGAGACCATCCTAACCTAACAGTGAAACCCCGTCTCTCTAAAAAATACAAAAAAAAAAATAGCTGAAGCGGGTGGCGCCTGTAGTCCCATCTACTGGGAGGCTGAGGCAATAGCGCAAACCCGGGAGAAGGCTTGGTGGAAAGGCGAGATCCGGCCACTGCACTCCCAGCCTGGGCGCTGAAATGAGACTCTGTCTCAAAAAAATAAATAAATAAATAAGTAAATATTTTCGGCTTTAAAGGCCAGTCTCTGTCACAAGTATTTAACTCTGCTGCTATTGCAGGAAAGCAGCCATAGACAGTCTGTTGTGAAACGTGGCCCTTGTTCCAATAAAACTTTATTGCCACAAACAGGCAAGCAGATTTTGCCCCCAGATGGAATGGGGAGGTGAGTGGTGTGTGGGCAGTGGGACTAAAGACAAAGGATCAGCCACAGGAGTCCTGTGCCATGGAACAGTTTAAGGTCAGGTAAGAGATGCCCATCCTGGTCCTCCCCAGGCCAGGCCCCCTGAGAATAAATCCACCCATTCCCTCGATCGAGGGCAGGACTCACCATTTCCTTCCCTGCATGTTCCCATCAGGAATCATGCCTTCCGGCCCACAGGGAACTTCTGGATGGCCAGGGCAGGCAGACAGGCTGGATATGTATTTGTTGAAGGCCAGGGCTGGCCAGCTCCAGGACAGCCAGGTCGAAGTCCAGGATGCCCGGGGTTGTAGAGTGCAGCACCACCCGCCGCAGCCGATCTTCACCGGGCTCCGCCCAGGCCAGGAGGACCTTGGTGCCCAGGTGGGCCAGACCTGCTCCACCTTCGTGCTGTGGAGACAGGGCCCTCCCAGACGTGCCCGCCCTCCAGCACATGCCCGCCTTGTGGGGACGGACAGGGCCTGATGCATCCCCCCTGGAAAGCCACACAGGGTTGCCTGGGTCCCAGGACCATTCCTCTGACCCTGGCTCCAGGGAGGAGGACCAGGAAGGGGCTGCCGGGCTCCTCCCTGAAAGGATCGAGTTGGGGACCTTTGGGCAACTCAGGGGACCCTCAGGCCTCATTTCTACACCTGTGCCAAAGCTCTCCCCAGCCCCCTACAGCTTTATGAGTCTTTTTTTGTTAGAGACAGGGTCTTGCTCTGCCTGCCCCAGATGGAGTGCAGTGGCACCATCAGGCTGACTGCAGCCTCAGCCTCCTGGGCTCAAGCAGTTCTCCTACCTCACCCTCCTGAGTAGCTGGGACCACAGATGTGGGCCACCGTGCCTGGGAATCTCCAAGATAAATGCTGCCTGGGTAGCAAGCAATGGAAGAGACCTTCTCCCCCTCCCCTTTGTTTGTCCTCGAAGCCTTGGCACCGGCTCCCTCCTGTCTCTCCAGCTGCCCTCAGGAAGGAAGGCTGCTCCCCCAGGGTGGGCGAGGGGTGGCCGGGAGCACCATGGGCAGCCCCAGCAGGATCGTTTCTGACAGGGAGGGAGCTGATGAGGAGGAAACCAGGCAGCCTTCCTGGGCGGAGCCTTACTGGATTTGAAGCAGTGGGCGGCAGACAGCAGCCAACGGTCCCCCCACCACAGTCGCTCCACAGAGTGCGGGACCCTTCCTTCAGGCTGACCTGCCAGGGCTCCCCGAGGCAGCTCGAACCCGCCCACACGACCCGTGTGGGCTTCTCCACGTCTAAGGCCTGGCCCCATTCTGGAAGGGGACACAAGACCAGGTCTGGGGATTCTTGGCCTGCTCGGATGGGAGCATGGGGGTGGAGGTAGGGTCCCAGGACACCAACTGCAGCCAGGCCCTAAAGGTGCCGCAATCCCGCCCATTCCACAGAGATGAAGGCATTGGAGGCTTGGAAGTGTCCATATTTTGCCCAGGTCTTGCAGCAAGTTCGTGGCCTGGCAGGGGACAGAAGTTAACAAAGCAGCAGCAGCAGCCCAGTCAACCTGAGACCCCGCCCAGACCCGCCACAGGCCCGCAGCCCACAAAGCCGGGTTTCACGAGGCTCCTTGCAAGACAGAGCTGCCTCCAGGAGACCCATGGGGCAGCTCAGAAAGGAGAATAGATTGCTATGGGGTTTGGAACAGAGCATAGGGTGTAGGTAGACTGAAATGAAGCATGGCCGGGCGCGGTGGCTCCACACCTGTAATCCCAGCACTTTGGGAGGCCAAGGCAGGCAGATCACCTGAGGTCAGGAGATTCGAGACCGGCCCACGGCCAACATGGCAAACCACAATGACTGTACTAAAAATACAAAAATTAACCGAGCATAGTGATGCACATGTAATCCCAGCTATTCAGGGCTGAGGCGGGACAATCACTTGAACCAGGAGTGGAAGTTGCAGTGAGCCAAGATCGCACCACTGCACACTCCAGCCTGGGCGACAAGTGAAACTCTGTCTGGAAAAAAAAAAAAAAAAAAAAGCCGGGTAGCGGTGGCTCAAGCCTGTAATCCCAGCACTTTGGGAGGCCGAGACGGGCGGATCACGAGGTCAGGAGATCGAGATCATCCTGGCTAACACGGTGAAACCTCGTCTCTACTAAAAAAAAATACAAAAAACTAGCCGGGCGAGGTGGCAGGCGCCTGTAGTCCCAGCCACTCGCGGGCTGGGGCAGGAGAATGGCGTGAACCCGGGAGGCGGAGTTGCAGTGAGCTGAGATCCGGCCACTGCACTCCAGCCTGGGTGACAGAGCGAGACTCCGTCTCAAAAAAAAAAAAAAAAAAAAAAATTATATATTTATATATATGAAAGTAACTAACAGTTTTGGAAACAGATATAGTCCTACAGTTTTCTTTTCTTTCTTTTTTTTGAGACGGAGAACCTGGCTGTAAGCCCAGGCTGGAGTGCGGCTCAGCACAGCTCGCCTCCAGGCTACGCCTGCCTCAGCCTCCCGAATAGCTGGGACTACAGGTGCCCGCCACCTTGGCACAGATTTTTTTGTATTTTTCTTTCTTTTTTTTTTTTTTTTTTTTTGAGACAGTCTCGTCCACCAGGCTGGAGTGCAGTAACCAGATCTCGGCTCACTGCAAGCTCCGCCTCCCGGGTTCACGCCGATCTCCTGCCTCAACCTCCCGAGTATCTGGGACTACAGGCGCCTGCCACCTCGCCCGGCTAGTTATTTGTATTTTTTTTTTAGTAGAGACGGGGTTTCACTGTGTCAGCCAGGATGGTCTCATCTCTCCTGACCTCATGATCTGCCCGTCTCGGCCTCCCAAAGTGCTGGGATTACAGGCTTGAGCCACCGCGCCCGGCCTTTTCTTTTTTTTCGAGATGGAGTTGTGCTCTTATCACCTGGGCTGGAGTGCAGTGGTGCCATGTCAGCTCACTGCAACCTTTTTTTTTTTTTTTCGAGATGGAGTTGTGCTCTTATCACCTGGGCTGGAGTGCAGTGGTGCCATGTCAGCTCACTGCAACCTCTGCTTCCTGGGTTCAAGCGATTCTTCTGCCTCAGCCTGCCGAGTAGATGGGATTACAGGTGCCCTCCACCACGCCCAGCTAATTTTTAGTAGAGACCAGGTTTTGCCATGTTGTCCAGGCTGGTCTTGAACTCCTGACCTCAAGCAATCCTCCTGCCTCAGTCTCCCAAAGTGCTGCAATGACAGGCATGAGCCACCGCGCCGGGCCAATCCTACAAGTTGTCTGGGTACAAGCTATTTGAAAATATAATAGGAAGTATTCCAGGCCGGGCGAGGTGGCTCATGCCTGTCATTGCAGCACTTTGGGAGACTGAGGTGGGCGGATCGTGAAGTCAGGACTTTGAGACCAGCCTAACATGAGGAAACTCTGTCTCTACTAAAAATACAAAAATTAGCTGGGTGTGGTGGCGAACGCCTATAATCCCAGCTACTCGGGAGGCTGAGGCAGGAGAATCGCTTGAACCCAGGAGGCGGAGGTTGCAATGAGCCAAGATCACGCCACTGCACTCCAGCCTGGGTGACAGAGCGAGACTCTGTCTCAAAAAAAAAAAAAAAAAGTATTCCATTGATAGATCGCCATACTTAGCAAGACATGGACAAGACCTATGGACAGAAAGATACCATGAGCGTACACGCAACAGAAGATGGGAATAAATGGATACACATGACCTTTCCTTGAACAGGAAGACCCAAAATTATGAAAATACTATGAAGATATCAATTCTCCCTAAATCAAGATAGGCGCGTACATCATCTTCTACCTTTCTGCCCCGAAAATACCTTGTAGCTTAGGAACGGTGACCCAGTCAAGAGGCACAGTGCTGGGGGCCTGCGTGGATTTGGTGGGGGTGTTGACCACAGGGCTCTCAGGACTGGTGGGCCAGGTCGTGCTGGAGGCGGTGGGGGCAGGAGCCACCGTGGGGGCCAGAGGCATGCTGGCTCTGGTGGTGGCCTCCAGGATCCAGTCACGTAGCTTGGTGACTCGGGCATAGACCCCCGGACGCCGGGCTTCTGCACAGCCAATTCCCCAGCTCACGATGCCGGCCAGAAAGAACCGGCCAGGGGGCTCCTCGCAGACCAGGGGTCCTCCTGAGTCGCCCTAGGAAACCAAAACACGCCCTCAGGATGGGTCGGCAGCAGCCAGTCCAAATGCCAGGGCTGCGAGGCCCAAGAAGGAGCTCTGAGCTGGGACTGCCAGGACCTCTCTCCACACGAGCTCACAGAGCCCTTGTGGGCTGATCAATCACATCTCAGAACCTGTTTTCCTCTTCTGTGGCGAAAGAAGAAGAAAACAAAAAACAACCCAAGACAGTTGGACTATAGGATCTCCAAGATGTCTTTTAGTCCTACATCTGGAAGGCTAAAACGTGACCCAAATAAGTAACATCCCCTCCTCTTCTTAACCCAGTAGATCTTTGATAATGTCACCACTTGCTTAGGCTGATGGTATGACTGCCATGTGGGTGCCTCCAGATATCTCACTGGTAGCTGCAGCACTGCTCCCAATGAAGCATTGCTTCATCTGCTCTCACTCATCCAGCCTCACCATTTTTTACCTTCCTATATCCAGCTCACCCTGACTTTCACATTCTGTGTTTTTTGTTTGTTTTTGTTTCTGAGAGTTTTGCTGTATTGTCCAGGCTGGAGTGCAGTGGCACAATTTCAGCTCACTGCAACCTCCGCCTCCCAGGTTCAAGTGATACTCCTGCCTTAGCCTCCCAGGTAGCTGGGATTACAGGCACGTGCCACCACGCCTGGCTAATTTTTTGTATTTTTAGTAGAAACGGGGTTTCACCATGTTGGCCAGGATGGTCTTGAACTCCTGACCTCAAGTGATCTGCCCACCTCGGCCTCCCAAAGTGCTGGGATTACAGGTGAGCCACCGGGCCCGGCCGACTCTTGCATTCTTAAAGACGAGCCCTCTCTTATTAGTTCCTAGCATTTTCTCCAGCTTCTGGTTTCAATATGGCAATCTAAGCACGTGTAGCAGTCTCTCCCTATCTTTTCCTCACCCACCAGCCCTTAGAAACAAGAGCAAAGGTATGCACAAAAAAGACAGGAATCCACAACCATGCTAAAAAATTAGGCAGGGGAGATCCTGGCGGTGGACTGAAGCCATGAAGAATCATGAGAAGCTGACAGAGGGAAGCGGCAGCCCAGCCCGTGTGTGGAAGCTCAAGACAAAAGAGAAAGCTTTCTCAAGAGGACCTGGGTTGGTTGAGGTAGAAAAGGGATTTGGGCAACCACAAAAGATCAACGAGACCAGGAGGTCTTTGGCCCCTTGAAAGGGGACAGAGAATCCAAGAACACAGGGTGTTAATGTCCCCCACCAAGAGAAAGTGAATAGCAAATATGAGATCACATCAAGAATTTAGTGACATTTTTAAATTTTCAATTTCTTTTTTTTAAGATGGGGTCTCACTCTGTCACTCAGGCTGGAGTGCAGTGCTGTGATCTTGGCTCACTGCAGCCTCCACCTCCCAGGCTCAAATAATCCTCCCACCTCAGCCTCTCAAGTAGCTGGGACTACAAGCATGCACCACCAAACCCGGCTGATTTTTGTTTTTGTTTTTGTAGAGACAGAGTTTTGCTATGCTGCCCTGACTGGTTTCAAACTCCTGGCCTCAAGAGACCTGGGTGCCTCAACCTCCCAAAGTACTGGGATTACAGGTGTCAGCCACTGCACCCGGCCTTTCATTCTTAAGCACCATTTGAGGGATTCCAATCTCCATGAAATAAAGACACTCAGTTACAACAGAAAAACGTATGTTTGCCTGAAATACAGTTAACCACAAATATAGAATATAGAAGAACTATAACTGGGATTAAATTACGATCCTCAGAGAAAAAGAAGAAATGGTGTCCATGAAACAAGAACAGAACACTGCAAAACAAGACCAAGTGGCTGAAAGAAGAAAGAGCAATGAGATACATTGAAAACAAAAAATGTAATTGTCGGCTGGGCATGGTGACTCACACCGCTAATCCCAGCACTTGAGGAGGACGAGGTGAGCGGATCACCTGAAGCCAGGATTTCGAGACCAGCCTGGCCAACATGGCGAAACCCTGTCTTTACTAAAAATATAAAAATTAGGGGGGAGGGATTGCATTGGGACTTACACTTGATGTAAATGATGAGTTGATGGGTGCTGACGAGTTGATGGGTGCAGCACACCAACATGGCACAAGTATACATATGTAACAAACCTGCAAGTTATGCACATGTACCCTAGAACTTAAAGTATAATTTAAAAAAAAAATATTTGCATCATAGTATTATGCTTAGAATACTATATGTAACACTATATGTAAACACTCAACACATATTAGCAATAATTAATATTATTATTATTCTCTTGTTTCTGTTGATCTCTCAAATATTAAATTATTTTAGTTTTACCACAGGAATAAACTTGAGGATAAAAGTGAAAAAATATATATATATAAAAATTAGCCAGGCGTGGTGGTGGGCACCTGTGATCCCAGCTATTTGGGAGGCTGAGGCATGAGAATCGCTTGAACCTGGGAGGCAGAGGTTGCAGTGAGCCAAGATGGTGCCACTGCACTCCAGCCTGGGTGACAGAGCAAGACACTGTCTTAATTAATTAAAAATACAAAAATTAGCTAGGTGTGGTGGCGCGCACCTATAATCACAGCTACTCTGGAGGCTGAGGCAGGAGACTCGCTTGAACCTGGGAGGCAGAAGTTGCAGTGAGCTGAGATCATGCCACTGCACTACAGCCTGGGCGACAGAGCAAGACTCCATCTAAAAAAAAAAAGAAAAAAAAAGAAGGTTCCAGGTAAACAGCAGAGGCAGCTTTGAGTGACCCAATTTTCTTTTCTTTCTTTTTTTTTTTTTTTTTTTTTTTTTTTTGAGACAGAGTCTCGCTTTGTCACCCAGGCTGAAGTGCAATGTCGTGATCTCAGCTCACTGCAACCTCCGGCTCCCAGTTCGAATGATTCTCCTGCCTCAGCCTCCCGAGTAGCTGGGATTACAGGCACCCGCCACCACGCCCAGTTAATTTTTGTATTTTTAGTAGAGATGGGGTTTCACCATGTTGCTCAGGCTGGTCTCAAACTCCTGACCTCAAGTGATCCACCTGCCTTGGCCTCCCATAGTGCTGAGATTACAGGCATGAGCCACAGTGCCCAGCCCTGGAAAGTTCTTGAGCCTGCAGGTCGCTCTTGGCACAGCTGACCACCCAGGGGCAAGAGTCCACGGGGTTCCCGTAGACCAACCTTTCCCGTACAGATGGAGAGAATCTGATGCCCAGGGTGTGTGCTGGCATCATTCATACAAGAGGTGTTTCTTGGGTGGTATGTGGTATCAGCCTGGCGCTGGGAACAGCATCTGTGTCCCCACACAAGTCCCGGTTTAGAGGGCAGCTGGGGGGATTTACACAGGGACCCCATCGTAGCCAGGGAGATTACACAAGGACCCCAGCCTCTGTGGCACGCACCTGGGGCCTACTGGGAGGGAGCAGGGAGCCATGGAGGGTAGAGGAGGAAGTGCAGTCAGGTTAGAGCTTCTGGAAGATCCTCTAAGCAGCACCTGCCTCTCTCAGTCCCAACTGCTTTAAAATTCCTCAAGAACGAACATCCAGATATCTGTGAATTGCACAGCATTTGAACACGCTCCTGTCTATTTCTGTTTTTCTGGGGTCTGGGGCGTCGGGGGCTCACCTGGCAGGAGTCCACCTTCCCATCCAGGTAGCCAGCGCACAACATCCTGTCAGTGAGTGAGTGGCCGTACAGGCTGGCACACAGTGCCTGGTCCAGCAGTTCCACAGTGGCTTTCTGCAGCACCTCTGGCTTGACCACTGGCCCGATGGGGAGAGAAAAGCAGGGTGAGAGTGCCGGAGCCCTGGCAGCCACTTTGAGCTGGGAGGCTGAAGGACATCTCCTCTCCGAGCCTCCCTCAGTTTCCCCAGCTGCAAGCATGGCCGCCTACAACACCTGGCTCTGAAACTGCAAAAGATAAACACCTCACCTGGTAACACTCTCTGCCTGGACAAGGAAGAGGCATCAGACATAACACCCCCAGCCCGAGATCCTCATCTCCCCTCCACAAGCTCCGCCCTCAGCATTCCCCATCTCAAGGATCTCAGGCCCCTCCTTCCAGATCCACAGTCCTCAAAATTCCAAGTCGGCCTCAAGTCAGCCCCCAGATACACCCAGAATCAGCCCCTGTCTCACGCCCATCCTTGCCTGGGTCATTACAGCTGTTCCTCACTCACTTCTGTCACTCTGGTCCCACCCAACTGAAATCCATTCCCAACCCAGCAGCCAGCGCCACTCTTGCTAAACATTAAATCAGGTCACATCAACTCCAGCCCCGGGGCTGCCTTGCTGTCCTCCCACCCCAGGGCCTTTGCACATGCTGTTCCTGCTGCCCGAAACGCTTGTCCCTGCAGAATCTGTCTGACTACCTCCTTCATCTCCTCGCTCCAGGAGGCATCTCTTGACCTCCCTATTTAAAGCTGCAGCCCCCACCCCCGCCTTATTTTTCTCCACTGGATCCACTTCCCTCTGTCAGTCATCTTGTGACTGACTGACCACCCCTGAAACTACACCACACAATGCAGTAGCCACTGGCCACGTGCGGCTATTTAGATGTGCATTTCAGTACATTAAGATCAAATTTTTTGGCTGGGTGAGGTGGCTCACACCTGTAATCCCAGCACTTTGGGAAGACGAGGTGGGAGGATCATGAGGTCAGGAGATCGAGACCAACCTGGCCAACATGGTGAAATCTCGTCTCCACTAAAAATACAAAAAAAAAAAAAAAAAAGTTGCTGGGTGTGGTGGCACATGCCTGTAGTCCCAGCTACTCAAGAGGCTGAGGCAGGAGAATTGCTTGAACCCAGAGGTGGAGGCTGCAGTAAGCACAGTTCGTACCACTGCACTCCAGCCTGGTCAACAAGAGCGAAACTCCATCTCAAAAAAACAAAACAAAACAAAACAAAACAAAAAAACGGGAGGCTGAGGCAGGAGAATGACATAAACCCGGGAGGCGGAGCTTGCAGTGAGCTGAGATCCGGCCACTGCACTCCAGCCCGGGCGACAGAGCGAGACTCCGTCTCAAAAAAAAAAAAAAAAAATTGCAGTAGCATCGATGATGGGTTATAAATATATCTTAGCAAGCAGTGGAATTTGTGAATACAGAATCAGAGAATAATGCAGACCCACTGTGTTTTTCTGCATTATTATTATTATTTTTTTATTATTTTTTGAGACAGAGTCTCCCACTGTCACCCAGGCTGGAGTCCAGTGGCACAATCTTGGCTCACTGCAACCTCCACCTCCCGGGTTCAAGCAATTCTCAGCCTCCTGAGTAGCTGGAATTACAGGCGCTCACCACCATGCCTGGCTATTTTTTTTTTTTTTTTTTTTTTGAGACAGAGTCTCTCTCTGTCACCCAGGCTGGAGTGCAGTGGCCGGATCTCGGTTCACTGCAAGCTCCGCCTCCCGGGTTTACGCCATTCTTCGGCCTCAGCCTCCCATGTAGCTGGGACTACAGGTGCCCGCCACCGCACCTGGCTAATTTTTTGTATTTTTAGTAGAGACGGGGTTTCACCGTGTTAGCCAGGATGGTCTCAATCTCCTGACCTCGTGATCCACCCGTCTCGGCCTCCCAAAGTGCTGGGATTACAGGCATGAGCCACCACGCCCGGCCCAAGGCTAATTTGTTGCTGTTGTTGTAGTTGTATTTTTTAGTAGAGACGGGGTTTCACTATGTTGGCCAGGATGGTCTCGATCTCCTGACCTCGTGATCCGCCCGCCTCAGCCTCCCAAAGTGCTGGGATTACAGGCTTGAGCCACCACACCCGGCCCTTTTCTGCGTTATTTGCCTGCCCGCCTGCCTGAGTTCACTTGCAGGCAGAGGAAGATGCGTACGGAAATCCTCCTTGAGGTAGCCCCAGCCTGAGATCAGGCACTTCTTGCTGGGTGGGAAGATGTGTGTGGCAGCCGGGAGGCACACGGGCTGGATATGCTGGCCGAAAGGCAGAGGGCTGGTCAGCTCCAGCACTGCCACGTCGAAGTCAGCCGTGTCTGCGTTGTACAGGGGGTGCTTGACGATCTGGGCCACCCGGGCCCGCACGGTGCTGGCCTCTGAACCACTGAGGTAGGTCGTACCCACATAGGCCACCCACTCCGTCGGGTCTTGGAATCTGCAGGAGCAAACCCCAGGTCAGAGGCCACCAGGAGTCAGAGCTGACAGGGGAGGCAGATGAGACACTCATCTTGGGTGCAAAATTTAAGGAGCATCCCCCCCTAAATTAATATTTATTAATAGTGTTTATAAAAATTAGGCCGGGCACAGTGGCTCATGCCTGTAATCCCACACTTTTGGAGGCTGAGGCGGGAGGAGCACTTGAGCCCAGGAGTTCAAGACGAGCCTGGGCAACATAGCGAAATGCAGTCTTAAAAAAAAAAAAAAAACAGGCCGGGCACGGTGGCTCACGCCTGGAATCCCAGCACTTTGGGAGGCTGAGATGGGTGGATCATGAGGTCAGGAGATGGAGACCATCCTGGCTAACACGGTGAAACCCCATCTCTACTAAAAAACACAAAAAATTAGCCGGGCGTGGTGGCGGGCGCCTGTAGTCCCAGCTACTCGGGAGGCTGAGGCAGGAGAATGGCATGAACCCGGGAGGCGGAGCTTGCAGTGAGCCGAGATTGCGCCACTGCACTCCAGCCTGGGCCACAGAGCGAGACTCCATCTCAAAAATAAAAAATAAAAAAAAATTGGCCAAAATGGTGAAACCTCGTCTCTACTAAAAATACAAAAATTAGCCAGGCATGGTGGCGGGCGCCTGTAATCCCAGCTACTCAGGAGGCTGAGGCAGAGAATTGCTTGAACCCAGGAGGTGGAGGTTGCAGTGAGCCGATATTGTGCCACTGCACTCCAGCCTGGGCGACAGAGAGAGACTCTAAGGGAAAAAAATTTATATATATATATATATGTATGTATATGAGCTAGGTGTGGGGGCGTGCACCTGTGGTTCCAGTTACTCAGGAGGCTGAGGTAGGAGGATTGCTTGAGCCTGGGAGACTGAGGCTGTAGTGAGCTATCACTGCACCACTGCACTCCAGCCTGGGCAACAGGCAAACTGTCTCAAAAAAAAAAAAAGAAAAAAGAAAAAATCGCACTTGCAGAAGAATGCATGATGCATGATGTATCAACATTTTTTTTTTTTTTGAGATGGAATCTCGCTCTATCTCCCAGGCTGGTGTGCAGTGTCGAGATCTCAGCTCACTGCAACCTCCACCTCCCAGGTTCAAGTGATTCTCGTGCCTCAGCCTCCCAAGTAACTGGGATGACAGGTTTGATTTTTTTGTGTGTTTTTAGTAGAGACAGGGTATCGCCATGCTGGCCAGGCTGGTCTCAAACTCCTGACCTCAAGTGATCTCCCTGCCTCAGCCTCCCAAAGTGCTGGGATTACAGTCATGAGCCACAAGCTCACTAGAGCCTGGCCAAGTATCAACATTTTAAACAAAGGCAGGATCCGACAGAGTTGGGATTAGGGTGAGGCGAGCCAGCCATGAGCCTTGGGCACAAAATTTAAAGAGTTGCCAAAAATCTCAGCCGTCAAGATAAATGATATCGAGCTGGGCACTGTAGCTCACACCTGTAATCCCAGCACTTTGGGAGGCAGAGACGGGCAGATCACTTGAGGCCAGGAGTTCGAGACCAGCCTGGCCAACAGGGCAAAACCCTGTCTCTACTAAAAATGCAAAAATTAGCTGGGCGTGGTGGCGGGCGCCTGTAATCCCAGCTACTCAGGAGGCTGAGGCAGAATTGCTTGATCCCAGGAGGCAGAGGTGGCAGGGAGCCGAGATTGCACCACTGCACTCCAGCCTGGGCGACAGAGTGAGCTTCTGTCTAAAAAAAAAAAAAGGATAATATCACAACACAACACAATATGTTAAAAAATCAAAGTGAATGCAAAAAATGTCCACAATGAGCAAAACATCAACAAAATGTCATTAGTCGCTGAGGAATGCAAGTCAAAACCACAGGGAGATGCTGCTTCACGAAACCCACTGGGATGGCTACTCTCAAAAGAACAGCAAGTGCAGGATGTGGAGAAATTGCAACCCTTGTGCACTGTTGGTGGGAATGTGAAATGGTAGAGTCAGGCTGGGCACGCCTGTAATCCCAGCACGTTGGGAGGCCAAGGCAGGCGGATCACCTGAGGTCAGGAGTTCGAGACCAGCCTGGCCAACATGGCAGAAACCCATCTCTATTAATTATACAAAAAAAAAAAAAAAAAATTAGCCAGGCATGGTGGCACACATCTGTAGTTCCAGCTACTTGGGAGGCTGAGGCAAGAGAATCGCTTTTTCCCAGGAGGTGGAGGTTGCAGTGAGCTGAGATCACACCACTGCACTCCAGCCAGGGCGACAGACTGAGACTCTGTCTCAAAAGAAAAAGTAAAATAAAATAAAGAGGCTGGGCATGATGGCTCACGCATGTAATCCCAGCAGTTTGGGAGGCCGAGGTGGGTGAATCACGAGGTCAGGAGATCAAGACCATCCTGGCTAAAACAGTGAAACCCCATCTCTACTAAAAATACAAAAAATTAGCCGGGCGTGGTGGCGGGCACCTGTAGTCCCAGCTACTCGGGAGGCTGAGGCAGGAGAATGGTGTGAACCCAGGAGGCGGAGCTTATAGTGAGCTGAGATCACGCCACTGCACTCCAGCCTGGGTGACAGAGTAAGACTCTGTCTCAAAAAATAATAATAATAAAATCAAAAGAATGCACTCAGGCCGGGCGCGGTGGCTCAAGCTTGTAATCCTAGCACTTTGGGAGGCCGAGACGGGCGGATCACGAGGTCAGGAGATCGAGACCATCCTGGCTAACATGGTGAAACCCCGTCTCTACTAAAAAATACAAAAAACTAGCCGGGCGCGGTGGCAGGCGCCTATAGTCCCAGCTACTCGGGAGGCTGAGGCAGGAGAATGGCGTGAACCCGGGAGGCAGAGCTTGCAGTGAGCTGAGATCGGCCACTGCACTCCAGCCTGGGCAACAGAGCGAGACTCCGTCTCAAAAAAAAAAAAAAAAAGAATGCACTCAGATTCAACAACAACAAAAGCAAGAAAGAAAGGAAAAGAAAAAATTACTTCCAGGGGCTCTAAGGAAATCTGAAGTGACGCCCCCAGTGCTTGAGGGAAGGCAGGAGAAATACAGAGGGTTTGGGTTCGGTGCTTTGGGATGGAGGCTTACTCATTGAAGCAGTGAGCGGCAGACACCAGCCACCTGGCACTGATGATGGTGGCCCCACAGAAGTGCTCCTTGTTCTCTCGAAGGCTGGCTTGCCATGGAAACTCCCCCGGGGACGCTTCCACACCGCCCACGATCCTGCCGGCCATCCTCCAGGCAGGCTGCAAGCCACACTCTGCAAGACAGCAGGTCACCAGCCAGGACCCCATGAAGGCAGGACCTCACCCTGAACTCCCAGAACCTCCATCTCTGAGTTTCTTATCTACAGTCCCTAGGTTCAAAGAGATACTTGGGGGCCCCTCCTTGGTTTCCCTGACTCTTCTGGGGTCTCCTCACCCCTCCCTCTTCAGTTCCTCTGGCTGCCCCATCCTGGCACGTAGGTCAAGCATCCAAGGTCACGTGCACCAGTGAGTGACGGAGAAAGGTCCCTATCTTAGCTGTGGGGAAGGGGCGATGACCGCACGTACATGTTTGTATATGATATTGTGTCTCTCTGCTTATTTAGTCTACTTTTATGTCCTTCAGCAAAATTTTGTAATTCTATAATTATATATAATAAATATTGTCACAGGCATGGCACATTTTTAAGTTTAGTCTTTGATATTTCATTTTTTGTCGCTATTGATCATGAAAGGGATTTTTTCCTTTGTATCTTCTAACCCATTATTACTGTATAAAGCAAAATCACAGCTTTTTTTTTTTTTTTTAGTTGGAGTTTTGCTCTGTACACCGGGCTGGAGTGCAATGGCATGATCTCAGCTCACTGCAATCTCCACCTCCCAGGTTCAAGGGATTCTCCTGCCTCAGCCTCCTGAGTAGCTGGGATTACAGGCACCTGCCACCATGCCTGGCTAATTTTTGTATTTTTGGTAGAGATGGGGTTTTGCCATGTGGGCCAGGCTAGTTTCGAACTCCTGACCTCAAGTGATCCACCCACCTTGGTCTCCCAAAGTGCTGGGATTACAGGTGTGAGCCACCACACCTAGCCTTTATTATTATTATTATTTTTTTTTTTTTTGAGACGGACTCTTGTTCTGTCGCCCAGGCTGGAGTGCAGTGGCATGATCTTGGCTCACTGCAAGCTCTGCCTCCTGGGTTCATGCCATTCTCCTGCCTAAGCCTCCCGAGTAGCTGGGACTACAGGCGCCTGCCACCGCGCCTGTAATTTTTGTTGTAGTTTTTAGTAGAGATGGGGTTTCACCGTGTTAGCCACGATGGTCTCAATCTCCTGACCTCGTGATCCACCCGCCTCGGCCTCCCAAAGTGCTGGGATCACAGGCATGAGCCGCCGTGCCTGGCCGGCCTTTATTTTATATAGCTTTTTAGTCAATTTCTTGATTCATTTTATTTTATTCTTTCAGCTTCTCTCCTTCTGTTTGGATATTGATTTATTTTAGATAGGCAATGATTTCAAATGAATTAAGCTTTTCCTCTTCCTTCCCAATACTTAAACTGCTGTCCTTACACCTTATTGCATGGGCTAGCATTGCTAGAAAAATGTTGGCTACTCTTCCAGCATTTTGTTTTATTTATTTTTGAGACAGGGTCTCACTCTGTTATCCAGGCTGGACAGTGCAGTAGCACAATCATAGCTTATCGCAGCCTCAATCTCCTGGGCTCAAGCGATCCTTCCACCTCAGCCTCCTGAGTTGCTGGGACCACAGGCACACACCACCACACTGGCTAATTTTTTTTGTTTGTTTTTAGTAGAGATGGGGGTCTCACTATGTTGTCCAGGCTGGTCTCAAACTCCTGGCCTCAAGTGATCCCCCTGCCTTGGCCTCCCAAAGTGCTGGAATTACAGGTGTGAGCCACCATGCCCAGCTAATCTCTTCCAGCATTTTAATTGTCTCTTTCCATTGCTCAAATCCCTGTGGCCACATCCCACTACTTACAGGACAGAGCTCCAATTCCTGGTATTCAAGACTTCCCAGGCTTTGGCCAGAACCTCTGTTTTCAGCCTGATATCTTCTCCCTCCTCTCCCCAGGCTTCCCCCCGTCACACACCTGCGCTTTTCCTTTTCTCTGCTGTTTGCTCACATTTCTCTCCATACCATGGGTGCCCCTTTCTGTTCTCTGCCCAGCCCCCGTAAATGCCAGGCCTGTGTGCCCAAGTGACATAAGCACAGTGACCAGAGACCAGAGCCAGCAGCTGACCCTGGAAAAGGGAAAGGGCCCAGAGACCAGGCCGGACAGGCAGACTGACCACAGTGCACCTCATCGGACCCATCGGAGCAGTCCTCCCGGTCGTCACACTCCGGGTTCACCTTGGTCACACACTGGCTGTTCTGGCAGGAAAAGGAGTTCCCTGGGCAGCGGCCTGAGGACAGAAAAGAATGAACTTTCTGACCTCAGGCTACATCTCCTGGTTGCAGTAAGGCACCACTCTACACTTAGTACCCCCAGGGTATGGAAACACGGAAACTCTCTCTCTCCATTTTTTTTCCTTTTCTTTTGTTTTTGTTTTTGAGATAGGTCTAGCTCTGTCACCCAAGCTGGAGTGCAGTGGTGCGATCACAGCTCACTGCAGCCTCTACCTCCAGGTTCAAGCAATCCTCTTGCCTTAGCCTCCTGAGTAGATGGGACCACAGGTGCATGCCACCAGGCCAGACTATTTATTCTTTTATTTTATTTTATTTATTATTTTTTGAGATGTAGTTTCTTTTTTTTTTTTTTTTTTCTGAGACAGAGTCTCACTCTGTCTCCCAGGCTGGAGTGCAGTGGCCGGATCTCAGCTCACTGCAAGCTCCGCCTCCTGGGTTTACAGCATTCTCCTGCCTCAGCCTCCCGAGTAGGTGGGACTACAGGCGCCCACCACCTCACCTGGCTAGTTTTTTGTATTTTTTAGTAGAGACGGGGTTTCACCGGGTTAGCCAGGATGGTCTCGATCTCCTGACTTTGTGATCCGCCCGTCTCGGCCTCCCAAAGTGCTGGGATTACAGGCTTGAGCCACCGCGCCTGGCTGAGATGTAGTTTCACTCTGTCGCCCAGGCTGGAGTGCAGTGGCGTGATCTCAGTTCACCGCAGCCTCTGTCTCCTGGGTTCAAGTGATCCTCCTTCCTCAGCCTCCCAAGTAGCTGAGAGTACAGGCAATATGCCACTATGCCCAGCTAATTTTTATTACTTTTTAAAAATAATTTAAAAAATTATTTTTGGCTTTTAATTTTGTTTTTTTTTTGAGATGGAGTCTCGCTCTGTTGCCCAGGCTGGAGTGCAGTGGTGCGATCTTGGCTCACTGCAAACTCTGCCTCCTGGGTTCACGCCATTCTCCTGCCTCAGCCTCCCTAGTAGCTGGGACTACAGGCGCCCGCCACCACGCCCGGTTATTTTTTTTTTGTATTTTTTAGTAGAGATAGGGTTTCACTGCATTAGCCAGGATGGTCTCGATCTCCTGACCTTGTGATCCGCCCGCCTCGGCCTCCCAAAGTGCTGAGATTACAGGTGTGAGCCACTGCGCCTGGCCTTAATTACTATTTTTATAGAGATAGGGTCCCGCTATATTGCCCAGGCTGGTCTCAAACTCCTGGCCTCAAGTGATCCTCCTGCCTCAGCCTCCCAAAGTGCTGGGATGACAGGTATGAGCCGCTGCGCCTGGCCTTGTTCCAGAGATTCTTTCATTTCCTTGAAAGGAATCTTAGGAAACCTCTGTCAGTAATTGCAATCAGAGAAAAGGCCAGAGAAAAAAACATACCTGATTTTAAATCTCTTTCTGCCACGGGCCCCTTATGTCTTCCTGCAACAAAACAGAGAAGATAGAAGCTCACTGAATAAGCCGTAAAACCCTCTGAACACGTCCTATTGGCCGGCCGCGCTGACTCACACCTGTAATCCCAGCACTGTGGGAGGCTGAGGCGGGCAGATCACTTGAGGTCAGGAGTATCAAAACCATCCTGGCTAACACGGTGAAACCCCGTCTCTACTAAAAATACAAAAATTAGCTGGGTGTGGTGCCGGACATCTGTAATCCCAGGTACTTGGGAGGCTGAAGCAGGAGAATCACTTGAACCCAGGAGGCGGAGGTTGCAGTGAGTTGAGATCGCGCCACTGCACTCCAGCCTGGGCGACAGAGCAAGACTCCATCAAAGAAAGGAAAGGAAAGGAAGGAAGGGAAAGGAAGGAAGGGAAGGGAAAGGAAGGAAGGAAAAGGAAAGGAAAAGGAAAGGAAAGGAAAAGGAAAGGAAAGGAAAGGAAAGAAAAGAAAACGTGCTATTGCAGACAAGTGATGGAGTAAAGTAAGCAGCTGCCTTGTCCACCCCAGAGTCACGTAAATTCTACCTTTGGTCAGTGAGGATGATGAAATCCACTTCAACACCAATTCTCAGTCTCACTAGCCCCATGGAGAGCACTCACTAGCTACAGGGCTCGGGCAGCCACCAAACTGCACGGGGCCTGGGACCTCCCTATCGCAAGGGAAGTTCTGTGAACACTGCAGCAGAGGTTATTAAGGCCTCAACCAGCATGTTACGGTTGGTGGGGAGGGAACCATAAATGTCCTGCACGTCAAGGTCAAGGTGACTAATCTTTTTTTTTTTTTTTTTTAAGACAGAGTCTCGCTCTGTCGCCCGGGCTGGGGTGCAGTGGTGTGATCTCAGCTCCCTGCAACCTCCGCCCCACCAGGTTCCAGCAATTCTCTTACCTCAGACTCCCAAGTAGCTGGGATTACAAGCGCCCACCACTGCGTCTGGCTAATTTTTGTATTTTTAGTAGAGACGGGGTTTTACCATCTTGGCCAGGCTAGTCTTGAACTCCTGACCTTGTGATCCACCCGCCTCGGCCTCCCAAAGTGCTGGGATTACAGGCGTGAGCCACCACGCCTGGCCACAAATGGTCTGAACTTGCATCTGACTCTCCAGTCATAACCTGGTGCACTGTACAATTTTTTAGTTTTTAAAACCACTGCACTCCAACCTGGGCAACAGAGTGAGACCCTGCCCCCCAAAAAAAAGAAAAGAAAAGATTTACACTCTCTTTACAGACCCCTGGTCCACACCATTAAGGCAAAGGCAATGTCAGTTTCTACGTACGATTGTTTGCTCTTGAGACAAAGTTTCATTCACTCTTTTTTCCCAGGCTGGAGTGCAATGGCACGATCTCGGCTCACTGCAACCTCCACCTCCCGGGTTCAAGCGATTCTCCTGCCTCAGGAGAATTCCATGTAGCTGGGATGACAGGTCCACGCCACCATGCTCAACTAATCTTTGTATTTTTAGTAGAGATGGGGTTTCACCATATTGGCCAGTCTGGTCTCAACTCCTGACCTCAAGTGACCCACCCGCCTCGGCTTCCCAAAGTGCTGGGATTACAGGCGTGAGCCACCGCACCCGGCCAGTTTGTTTTCTTTTTATGGGAAGGGGTGATTATCAAAATGTATCTTGCAACGCCTGCCCGCCTCCAGCCTCCTCGTGATGGGGTTTCGGTCTCGGCTGCCCACTCACCTGTGAGCTCAGCCGACACAATTGTGCCATAGGCAGCCAGGGAGATGCCGCGCTCTCGCAGCCTTGCCTGGATCCCTCTCTGCAACAGCTCCTCCTCCAGGCCCAGGCTCAGCGTCTGGAGGGGTCGCAGCAGGAAGTGCAACTGGAAATGTACGAGGACACTGGAGTTCCCATCCCTACAGGTATGGAGGAGAGGCCCTTGGAGAGGGAGGGACTCCTCCCTGCTGGAATCTTCTAGAATTTTCCAGACTTTTCTGGAGTCCTCCAGAAACTCCCAGATGTCCACCAAGTTTCCGTCACCCAATGGAAGCTTCAACTCACCTGTAATTCAGCACCGTGCAACCCACACAGCTTGCCTCTAACTCTGTCTTCTGAAAACTACTTACAAACTGCAATAGAAACAAGAACGGCAAATGTTGAGACCCCCAGCGTGGGCACCCTGGCACTGCAGCAGCCTGTTGAAGGGGTTGAGCTGGAGAAGGGGTTGGTTTCATGGGAAAGAGTTTCCTTTTATTTATTGTTTTAAATTTTAAAATTATTCACGCCTGTAATCCCAGCACTTTGGGAGGCCAAGGAAGGCGGATCACAAGGTCAGGAGTTTGAGACCAGCCTGGCCAACATGGTGAAACCCCATCTCTACTAAAAATACAAAAAATTAGCCGGGCGTGGTGGCGGGCACCTGTAGTCCCAGCTCCTCGGGAGGCTGAGGCAGGAGAATGGTGTGAACCCAGGAGGCGGAGCTTGCAGTGAGCCAAGATCGTGCCACTGCACTCCAGCCTGGGCAACAGAATGAGACTCCATCCCCCCCCAAAAAAATTAAATTTTTATTTGTATGTATGTATGTATGTATGTATGTATTTGAGACAGAGTCTTGCTCTGTCGCCCAGGCTGGAGTACAGTAGTGCAATCTCCACTCACCGCAACGTCCGTCTCCCAGGTCCAAGCGATTCTGCTGCCTCAGCCTCCCAAGTAGCTGGGATTACAGGTGCCTGCCACCATGCCTAGTTAATTTTTTGTATTTTTAGTAGAAATGGGGTTTCACTATGTTGGCCAGGCTGGTCTTGAACTCCTGACCTCATGATCCGCCTGCCTCGGCCTCCCACAGCGCTGGAATTACAGTTGTAAGCCACCACACCCAGACTTAAGTTTTATTTTTAATTTTTTTATTGTTGTTATTATTATTTTGAGACCGAGTCTTGCTCTGCCGCCTGGGGTGGAGTGCAATGGCACAATCTCGGCTCATTGCAACTTCTGTCTCCCAGATTCAAGCAATTCTCCTGCCTCAGCCTCCCAAGTAGCTGGGATTACAGGCGCCCGCCACCATGCCCGGCTAATTTTTTGTATTTTTTAGTAAAGACAGGGTTTCACTATATTGGCCAGGCTGATCTTGAACTCCTGACCTCGTGATCCACCCACCTCGGCCTCCCAAATTGCTGGGGTTACAGGCGTAAGCCACTGTGCCCAGCCTGTTTTTTTTAATTATTATTTTTTGAGATGGAGTCTCGCTCTGTCACCCAGGCTGGAGTGCAATGGCGCGATCTCGGCTCACTGCAACTTCCACCTCCTGGGCTCAAGCAATCCTCCCACCTCAGCCTCACGAGTAGCTGGGATTACAGGCACACACCACCACACCTGGCTAATTTTTGTGTTCTGAGTAATGATGGGATTTTGCCATGTTGCTCAGGCTGGTCTCGAACTCCTGACCTCAGGTGATCCACCCGCCTTGGCCTCCCAAAGTGCTGGGATTACAAATGTGAGGCACCCACCGTGCCCGCCTGGAGTGCTCTTTTTAATACACGATTGCTGATGTGGCCACACGTCTGTTTCTCTTAGAATAAAATGGAAAACTTTTTTTTTCCATCGAGATATAATTTGCTGTGTCCTGTGTCCGAGCCTGGCTCCTTTTCCTGGCTGAGTCATACTCCAGTGTGTGGATGGCCACGCTGCTTCCCCGTTCATCCGTTCATGATATCTGAGTTTCCATCATTACCTGTTATGAGCCATGCTGCCATGAACATCCACACACGGGTTTTCGTGTGGACATACATTTTTTGTTTGGTTTGGGTTGAGACGGAGTCTCACTCTGTAGTCCAGGTGGGAGTGCAGTGGTGCAATCTTGGCTCACAGCAATCTCCGCCTCCCAGGTTCAAGCGATTCTCCTGCCTCAGCCTCCCGAGTAGCTGGGACTACAGGCGTGTGCCACCATGCCTGGCTAATTTTTGTATTTTTAGTAGAGATGGGGTTTCACCATGTTGGCCAGGCTGGTCTCGAACTCCTGACCTCGTGATCCACCCACCTCAGTCTCCCAAAGTGCTGGGATGACAGGCATGAGCCACTGCACCTGGCCTGGATATATCTGTTGACTTCTCTTGGGTAGACCCTCAGCAGTGAAACTGTGGATCACATGGTCACTATGTGTAACCGTTTGAGGAGCTGCCAGCCTGTTTTCCATGCAGCTGCACTACTGTTGTTTGTTTGTTTGTTTGTTTTTGAGACGGAGTTTTGCTCTGTTGCCCAGGCTGGAGTGCAGTGGTGCAATCTCAGCTCACCACAACCTCCACCTCCCGGGTTCAAGCGATTCTCCTGCCTCAGCCTCCCGAGTAGCTGGAATTACAGGCATGCGCCACAACGCCCGGCTAATTTTGCATTTTTAGTAGAGACGGGGTTTCTCCATGTTGGCCAGACTAGTCTCAAATTCCTGACCTCAGGTGATCTGCCTGCCTTGGCCTCCCAAAGAGCTGGGATGACAGGCGTGAGCCACCGCACCCAGCGTGCATCACTATTATTTTTTCCTTTTCCTGCTTTCCAGGAATGCCTCATTTTACGTTCCTCCAGGCTGGGTGCAGTGGCTCACAACTGTCATCCCAGCACTTTGGGAGGCCAAGGAAGGTGAATCACTTGAGGTCAAGAGTTCAAGACAAGCCTGGCCAATATGGTAGCTCACGCCTGTAATCCCAGCACTTTGGGAGGCCATGGTAGGAGGATCATTTGAGGTCAGGAGTTCGAGACCATCCTGGCCAACATGATGAAATCCTGTCTCTACTAAAAATACAAAAATCAGCTGGACATGGTGGTGCGCACCTGTAATCCCAGCTACCTGGGAGGCTGAGGCAGGAGAATCACTTGAACCTGGGCAGCAGGGGTTACACTGAGCAGAGGTCACTCCACTGTACTCCAACCTGGGTGAAAGAGTGAGACTCCAAGTCAAAAAAAAACAAAAAAAAGCCGGGCGCGGTGGCTCACGCCTGTAATCCCAGCACTTTGGGAGGCCAAGACAGGCGGATCACGAGGTCAGGAGATCGAGACCATCCTGGCTAACACTGTGAAACCCTGTCTTTACTAAAAATACAAAAAATTAGCCGGGCGTGGTGGCGGGTGCCTGTAGTTCCAGCTACACGGGAGGCTGAGACAGGAGAATGGCGTGAACCCGGGAGGCGGAGCTTGCAGTGAGCCGAGATCGCGCCACTGCACTCCAGCCTGGGCCACAGAGCGAGACTCCGTCTCAAAAAAAAAAAAAAAACCTCTAAATGTGGCCTAAAATCAATCCTATGTGTGTCTGTCCTCAGTGGATACAGCTCTGCCTTGCAGGTATCTGCCTTGACCACCTGGCCTCGTCCTTTCCCCTCCCCCATGGCCTGGCCTCCCAGTCTCACAGCCTCCACCTCGGCCTCCTTGCCTCCGGCCTGCCTCCCTCCCACATGGAAAGCAGCTCTAGGTCAAAGCCCTGGCCACCCGCTTTTCCTCCCTGGCCCCCAAACACAGACCACCCTCACCAGTGCCTCCAGGGTGGGCGTCAGTGTGCGGTGATAGTCCGAGGCCTCCCGCTGCAAACTGCTGGCCCACCGGATTCCCCGCAGCTCGGCCGTGTGGTCCACGTGGACGCCCCGTGTAGACAGGAAGGCTGGGGACGAGACCAGGGGCCGTGAGAGAGTCCACCTTTGGGGGCTCAGGCCTGCACTGAGCTGCCGCCCGGGACCCGCCCTGTCTGTGCCCACACACCCCGGTGGTCACTCCCGACTCGCAGTGGGGTGGCGAACGCCCCTGTGGCTGCCCTGAATAGGGACTCACAGGGCTCTCCCTCAACCCCCAAAAGCATTCTGGTTTGGAGCTGAATTCTACAGCCACCCCCCCGGAGGTTCCCAGGTAAGAACAAGGTGGGTGAGAGCCCGGTGAGCCCCAGACGCCCCCGCGTTTTCCTCGAAGGCAGGAAGAAGGTCCTGCTCACGTCAGTCTCCCATGCGGTGCCTGGCCCAGGATCTGAGCTGACTCCAGGGAGTGACCGCTGGAATGGCATCAGGAGATGGTAACATGACAGATCCCACCTCCTGCTGCAGGGACATGAGCACAGCCAGAGGCCATCAGGACTGTCCGGCCACAGGCCCATGAGGTCATCTTTAGAAACCACTGGTTGGTTTGTTTGTTTTGAGACAGAGTTTTGCTCTTGTTGCCCAGGCTGGAGTGCAGTGGTGCGATCTCAGCTCACTGCAACCTCCGCCTCCCGGGTTCAGGTGATTCTCCTGCCTCAGCCTCCCGAGTAGTGCCTGGGACTACAGGCATGTACCACCACGCCCAGCTGATTTTTGTATTTTTAGTAGAGATGGGGTTTCTCCATGTTGGTCAGGCTGGTCTTGAACTCCTGACCTCAGATGATCCACCAGCCTTGGCTTCTCAAAGTGCTGGGATTATAGGCATGAGCCACTGTGCCCAACCTTGTTTGTTTTGAGATAGGGTCTCGCTCTGTTGCCTGGGCTGGAGTGCAGTGGTGTGATCTCAGCTCACTGCAACCTCTGTCTCCCGGGTTCAAGCGATCCTCCTGCCTCAGCCTCCTGAGTAGCTGGGATTACAGTCGTGCACCACCGCACCTGGCTAGTTGTTTTGCATTTTTAGTAGAGACTGGGTTTCACCATGTTGGCCAGGCTGGTCGGGAATTCCTGACCTCAGGGGATCCACCCACCTCAGCCTCACAAACTGCTGAGATGACAGGTGTGAGCCACTGCACCCAGCCTTAATTTTTGTATTTTTAGTAGAGATGAGGTTTCTCCATGTTGACCAGGCTGGTCTGGAACTCCTAAACTCAGGTGATCTGCCTTCCTCGGCCTCCCAAAGTGCTAGGATGACAGGCAGTAGCCCCTGCGCCTGGCAGAAAGCACTGGGTTTTAGCTGTTGCCTATGTTGTGCCCGAAATACAAAGTATAACAAAAATAATGTCATAAAAAAATTCCTATGCTGAGTCAAGCAGCAGAAAAAATTCTAAATAAAAACTACGAGAGCAAGCACAGAAACCATGAGAGCACGAGTTTTGGTCAAAAATACGTTAAAACTACCAGAAGTGCACACCAGCCAAATAAAAAAAAAAAAAAATGGCCATAATTACAACATTTAAAAGATGCAAATAGCAACCACGTGCTCTGTGAAAGCTGGGGCCCACTTCCGATTACCCTAAATGGATAGATATGCTACATGGCTATTTACATAGTCATCTATTCAGTAGATAGAATATTCTGAACCAATTCTAAAAACGGTATGTTTTCTCGTTCAAGAAACTAAAAATAAGGAAACGCGAGCACCCTGGTGGGTGGACTGAATTGCCCCGCCTCTGTGTCCCAACCTCACTCTGTAAGTCTTCACTCTGAAACAACTGCAGATTCAGGAAGTTGCAGAAATAGTTCAGAATGTCCCCCGCTCTCCACTCAGCCTCTCCTGACGTCTCCAGCTAAAACGGTGAGCTGTTCGGGAAGGGGTGAATTCTCATTTTTATTTTTTAAAATGTCTTATTTCTTTGAGACAGGGTCTCTATTGTTCGGGCTTCAGTGCGGTGGTGCAATCACAGCTCACAGCAGCCTCGACCTCCTGGTCTCAGGTGATCCTCCTGCCTCAGCCTCCCAAGTAACTGGGACCACAGACACCCGCCATCCGCCTAGTTGGCTGGCTTGCTCTCTCTCCCTCTCTCTCTCTCTCTCCTTCTCTTTCTTGACAGAGTCTTACTCTGTTGCCAGGCTGGAGTGCAATGGCATGATCTTGGCTCACTGCATCCTCCGCCTCCCAGGTTCAAGCGATTCCCCTGCCTCCGCCTCCTGAGTAGCTGGGACTACAGGCGCACGCCACCACGCCCGGCTAATTTTTTTTGTATTTTAGTAGAGACGGGGTTTCACCATGTTGGCCAGGATGGTCTTGATCTCCTGACCTCATGATCTGCCTGCCTCAGGTTCCCAGAGTGCTGGGATTACAGGCGTGAGCCACCGTGCTTGGCCCTCTTTTTTTTTTTTTTTTTTTGCAAATGCAGGGTCTCACTCTGTTGCCAGGCTAAAGTGCCGTGGCACGATCTTGGCTCACTGCAACCTCCCACTTCCTGGGTTCGGTAATTACTCCACTGTGGATCCACAAAATAAGATGAAGTGGGGTTTTTTGGTCTTTTTTTTTTTTTTTTTTTTTTAAATACAGGGTCTCACTCTGTTGCCCAGGCTAAAGTGCAGTGGCACGATCTTGGCTCACTGCAACCTCCACTTCCTGGGTTCAAGCAATTCTCCAGCCTCAGCTTCCCGAGTAGCTGGTATTTGAGGCACGTGCCACTACGCCCAGCTAATTTTTGTATTTTTAGTAGAGACGGGGTTTCACCATATTGGCCAGGCTGGTCTCGAACTCCTGACCTCATGTGATCCACCCGCCTCGGCCTCCCAAAGTGCTGGGATTACAGGCGTGAGACACCGCGGCCGGCTATTTTTTATTTTTTATCAGAGTGTCACTCTGTCTGCCAAGCTGGAGTGCAGTGGTGTGATCATAGCTCACTGCAGGCTCAAACTACTGGGCTCAAGTAATCCTCTCTCCTCAGTCTCCTGAGTAGCAGTGACTACAGGCACATACAACCACTCATTTTCGTTTAAAACATTTTAAAATTTTAATTTTAAATACTTCTTGTTTTTATTATTTAATTTTTTGTGGAGACGGGGTCTCGCTGTGTTGCCCAGGCTGCTCTCGGACTCCTGGGCTCAGGTGATCCTCCTGCTTCAGCCTCCCAGAGTGCTGGGATTACAGGTGTGAGACACCGTACCCGGCCTTAAGTGGTTCTTAAGACTTCCAGCACTGGCCAACATGGCAAAACCCCATCTCTACTAAAAATACAAAAATTACCTGGGCACGGTGGTGCGTACCTGTAATCTCAGCTACCTGGGAAGCTGAGGCAGGAGAATTGCTTGAACCCGGGTGGTGGAGGTTGCGGTGACCTGAGATAGTGCCATTGCACTCCGTCACGCCCGGGAGACAGAGAAAGAGATTCCATCTCAAAACAAAACAAGACAAAACAAAAGACTTCCTGTGGTTTCGGGGGGTCCTGATGGGAATTATATCTACCCGTTTTTCCCAAAATGTATTTGTTAGAACGTAGATGAGAAACTCTGCCCTGACCCTGCCTCTTACTAGTGTGAGGACGAACACACGCACACACATCCATGCACACATACACACGCAGACACACACATGCATGCACACACAAACGCATGCCGATGAACACGTGTGCACCATGCACACCCTCATGCACACACAAATACACTCACAGGAGGAACCCAAATTATATTGCACTTGGTACCCATGGCCACTAGAGGGCCTCAGCCAAACATGTCTGGCTCTGGGAGTTTCAGAAGTTCCACAAATATTAAAAAAAAAAAAAAAAAAAAAAATTAGGATTCTCAAAGGATCTCCAACTTACTATTTTGCCACACAAGAGCATTTCTCCACAAATTACTGTTTATTATAATCATTTAAATGTTAAAACTAACTTTTTTTTTTTTTTTTTTTTAGTAGAGACGGGGTCTCACCGTGTTAGCCAGGATGATCTCGATCTCCTGACCTCGTGATCCACCCGTCTCGGCCTCCCAAAGTGATGGGATTACAGGCTTGAGCCACTGCACCCGGTCTTTTTTTTTTTTTTAAGCTAGAGTTGCTCTGTCACCCAGGCTGGAATGCAAGGGCATGAATTTGGCTCACTGCAACCTCTGCCTTCTGGGTTCAAGCAATTCTCCTGCCTCAGCCTCCCAAGTAGCTGGGATTACAGGCATGTACCACCATGCCCAGCTATTTATTTTCCTCCCCTCCGCTCCCCTCCACTCCCCTCCTCTTCTCCCTCTCTCTCTCGCTCTTTTTTTGTATTTTTAGCAGAGATGGGGTTTCACCATGTTGGTCAGGCTGGTCTTGAACTCCTGACCTCATGATCTGCTCATCTCGGCCTCCCAAAATGTTGAGATTACAGGTGTGAGCTACTGCGCCTGGTCTTATTGTTTATTATTATTTTTTGAGATAGGGTCTCACTCTGTCACCCAGGCTGGAGTGCAGTGGTGTGATCTCAGCTCACTGCAACTGCTGCCTCCCAGGTTCAAGTGATTCTCCTGCCTCAGCCTCCTGAGCAGCTGGGACTACAGGCGCCACCACGCCTGGGTAATTTTTTGTATTTTCTGTAGAGGCAGGGCTTTATCATGTTGCCCAGACTGGTCTCAAACTCCTGGGCTCCGATGGTCCTTCTGCCTCAGCCTCCTAAAGTGCTGGGATTACAGGCGGGAGCCACCACGCCCAACCCAATTGCTCGGTTTTATAAAAATCCTTTTGGGTATTTTGCTGATTTGCCAAAATTTAAAACAAGATCATTTCCCTGTCTGTGTTTCTCTGTCATCCCAGCTGTGAAAACTTCCTTTGGGAGCTTCTTTAGTTGGGAAAACTGACGCACGCAGGAACTCACCCGCTCCACTCCCCGCCCACCCGCCTGACCTAGGGCAGCCTTCATTTCCACGCCTAGACACTGCCCTTTGATTCTAAGATGGTCATGGAGACACCATCAAGTCACTTCCTGGTGACTTTGCACACGTCCCCTTGTTTTGTGAACCCAGCCAATCCCACAGTCACTTACCCAAAAGGACTCCCAGGGTGAGGATGACAAGGCTGGTGGCCACCACACCAATGGTGACCACTCGACAGCACGCAGCGTCTGGAGTGGGGACTTCCTTGGTTGTCCTGGGCATGAGGTGTACGTCAGCCACAGTAGACTCCATGGCTCAGAAACACGCAGACAGCGAGCTGGATGCCACACAGCAAGACAGAAACATGGGGTCAGAGGCTGAAGGTACTTCTCTTCCCATAAGCAAGGGTTGCAACTATGCCCTTAAAAATGGCCGAGCGCGGTGGCTTACGCCTGTAATCCCGGCACTTCGGGAGGCTGAGGTGGGTGGGTCATTTGAGGTCGGGAGTTCCAGACCAGCCCGGCCAACATGGTGAAACCCCATCTCTACTAAAAATACAAAATTAGCCAGGCATGTTGATGCATGCCAGTAATCCCAATTACTTGGGAGGCTGAGGCAGGAGAATCGCTTGAACCCGGGAGGCAGAGGCTGCAGTGAACCGAGATCGCACTACTGCACTCCAGCCTGGGTGCCAGAGCGAGACTCCGTTTCCAAAAAAAAAAAAGACCGGATGCGGTGGCTCATGCCTGTAATCCCAGCACTTTGGGCGGCCAAAGTGGGTGAATCACTTGAGGTCAAGAGTTTGAGACCAGCCTGGCCAACATAGTGAAACCCTGTCTCTACTAAAACTACAAAAACCTGGTCAGGCATTATGGCGTGAACCTGTAATCCCAGCTACTCAGGAGGCTGAGGCAGGAAGATCGCTTGAACCTGGGAGGCAAAGGTTGCAGTGAGCTGAGAGCGTGCCACTGCACTCCAGCCTGGTGACAGAACGAGACTGTCTCAAAAAAACAAAAAGGTGGAAAGTGACTGCTGGCTGGGCCGCTGTGTAAGGGTGAGGGGTTGCCGTAGGTCACTGGGGTCCATTGTTAGAAAGAGTAAGTCTGAGGTTCCCAGAGCTGCTGTAAAAAAGGACCCCACACTTGGGACCTTAGAGGAACACTGAGTTATTGGCCAGGCATGGTGGCTCACACCTGTAATCCTAGCACTTTGGGAGGCTGAGACAGGAGGATTGCGTGAGCCCAGGAGTTTGAGACCAGCCTGGGCAATATAGTGAGACCCCATCTCCACAGAAAACAAACAAAAATTAGGCAGATGTGGTGGCTCACACCTGTAATCCTAGCAACTCAGGAGGCTGAGGCAGGAGGATCTCTTGAGCCCAAGAGGTGGAGGCTGCAGTGAGCTGTGATCGCGCCACTGTACTCCAGCCTGGGTGACAGAGCCAGACCCTGTCTCAAAAAATTTAAAAATGGAATAGATTTATTATCTCACAGTTCTGAGATCCATCTTACAGGGCTCATCATCAAGCTGTGGGCAGGCCTGGGCCCTCCTGGGGACTTGAGAGAATCTGTTTCCCACCTTTCCCAGCGTCTAGAGGCTCAGGGCCCCTTCCTCCCCCTTCACGGCCACAGCACAGCCTCTTCCAGTCTCTCTCTGACTCTCACCCTCCTGCCTTTTTTTTTTTTTTTTTTTTTTTTTTTTTTTTGAGACAGGGTCTTTCTCTGTTGCCCAGGCTGGAGTTCACAGCTCACTGCAGCCTCCACCTCCTGGGCTCAAGCGATCCTCCCACCTCAGCCTCCTAGTAGCTGGGACCACATGTGTGTGCCACTACACCCGGCTAATTTTTTTTTTTTGTAGAGAGGGAGTCTTCCTATGTTGCCCAAGCTGGTCTCAAACTCCTGACCTCACGCGATCCTCCCATCTCAGCCTCCCAAAGCGCTGGGATTACAGGCGTGAGCCACCGTGCCCAGCCTGAGTGCCATCTTTCGAAGGGAGGAGAATCAAAGAATTTGTGACCACAGACTCTTTTTCTGTCACCCTCATCAACAACTCCTGTTGGCTCAGTGTTCAAAACAGATTCCTAATCCAGTCATTCCTCACCATCTGTGCAGCTACAGCTCTGGACAGGCCACCAGCACAGGTCACCAGCATCCCCTCCGGAGGGACTGGCCTCTTTCCTCCCTCCCTTGCCCTTCTGTGAACTGGTCACAGCAGTTAAGGTGCCTTTGAAATGTTCATCAGATTACATCATTCCTGGCCACACACACATTAAATCCCTCCAGCAGCCTAAAACCCAGAGTTCTCCTCCTGACTTTCACACATCATCTTTTTTTTTTTTTTTTTTTTCAGAGAGAGAGAGTCTCTCTGTTGCTCAGACTGGAGTGCTGTGGTGTGATCTTGGCTCACTGCAACTTCAAATGTCCAGGCTTAAGCGATCCTCCTACCTCAGCTTCCATAGCTGGGACCACAGGTACACGCCACCACGCCAGCCTCATTTTTCTATCTCTCTCTCTGTCGAGATGGAGTCTCGCTCTTGTCACCCAGGCTGCTGTGCAGTGGCACAATCTCGGCTCGCTGCAACCTCTGCCTCCCGGGTTCAAGCGATTCTCCTGCCTCAGCCTCCCCAATAGCTGGGATTACAGGTGCCCAGTACTACGCTTGGCTAATTTTTATATTTTTAGTAGAGAGAGGGTTTCGCCATGTTGGCCAGGCTAGTCTTGAACTCCTGACCTCAGGTGATCCACCCACCTCAGCCTCCCAAAGTGCTGGGATTACAGGAGTGAGCCTCCATGCCCGGTCCCACTTTTCTATTTTTTGTAGAGAGGGGATCTTGCTATGTTTCCCGGGCTGGTTTTGAACTCCTGACCTCAGGCAACCTTCCCTCCTCAGCCTCCCAAAGTGCTGGGACCATAGCTGTGCTGTGCAGTGTCACGATCTCGGCTCACTACAACCTCCATTTCTCAGGTTCAAGTGATTCTCATGCCTCAGTCTCCCAAGTAGCTGGGACCACAGGCGCATGCCATCACACCTGGATAATTTTTGTATTTTTAGTAGAGACAGGGTTTCACCATATTGGAAAGGCTGGTCTCAAACTCCTGGCCTCCTGCCTTGGCCTCCCACAGTGCTGGGATGACAGGCGTGAGCCACGGCGCCCGGCCGGCAGTAACTATTTTCATACTCACAAGGCAGTCAGGACCGTGTCCCTTAACTCTGCCGTTATCACACTGAAGCAGCCAACCACATGTAAAGAATTAGACACAACTATGTTCCCATCACACTTTATGGACACTAAAATTCAAATCCTGACTGGGAGCGGTGGCTCACGCCTGTAATCCCATCTCTTTGGGAGGCCGCGGCAGGATAATTGCTTGAGTCCAGGAGTTTGAGACCAGCCTGGGCAACATAGCAAGAAGCAAGACCCCATGTCGACAGAAAATAAAAATTAAATTAGCCGGGCATGGTGGGGCGCGTATCTGTGATCCCAGCTATTCAGGAGGCTGAGGTGGGAGGACTGCTTGAGCCCAGGAGGTTGAGGCTGCAAGGACCTGTGATCACACCAGGGCACTCCAGGCTGGGTGACCGAGCGACACCCAGTCTCCAGTAATAATAATAAAATGCAAAAATAATTCTTAGATTGGTGGGCTGTATGAAAACAGGGGAAGGACCAGATCTGGCTCTGGTCCACAGGATGTCGCTTCCTGACCCCTGGAATAGATATCTAATCTTTTTTATTATTTTTTATTTTTCAGACACAAGGTCTTGCTCTGTCACCCAGGCTGGAGTGCAGTGGTGTGATCATAGCTCACTGCAGCCTTGACCTCCCAGGCTCCAACGATCCTCCTGCCTTAGACTCCAGAGTAGCTGGGCCCACAGGTGTGCCACCACATCTGGTTTTTTTTTCTTTGTAGAGATGGGGTCTCACTATGTTGTCCAGTCTGACCTTGAACTCCTGGCCTCCAGTGATCCTCCTGCCTCGGCCTCTAGGTGTGAGCCACTGAACCCGGCCACCTCTCTGATGTTTATAATCATTTGCCAGTCCCCGTTCTGGGCGATCTCCCACTCATGGGTTATCACTAAGGCTTTGAAATGTAAGAGGATTTACGAACATGAGTCCCAGAACACGGCCAGATGGCAGCCATGTGCAACGGTGACACCATGACCTTCTTCTGTGCTCCTGCCGCTTTCAGTCTCACTGGAGCAGGGGATTCACCCAGGGTTTCCACGAGAAACTGCCTCTGTGTCGCATGGATCCCTAGGCAGAACTGGGCAGCTGTCGGCCCCTGAGGGATGTAACGGAACACCTGGGGCAGACAGATTCCACCGGGAGCACCAGGATACCACCTCCTGGGATTCACGTCCTCTGTGACCCCTTTTCATCAAGGGATGGGCCAAGGTAGCCACGGTGGCCTCAGGTAGGCCTCCCAAAGTGCTGGGATTATAGGATTACAGGTGTGGGCCACCGCGCCTGGCCTTTTCTTTTCTTAGGTTGGAGTGCAGTGGCACGATCTCAGCTCACTACAACTTCTGCCTCCCAGGTTCAAGTAGTTCTCCTGCCTCAGCCTCCCCAGTAACTGGGATTACAGGTGCACACCACCATGCCTGGCTAATTTTTTTGTTTGTTTGTTTATGTTTTTGAGATGGAGTCTTGCTCTGTCACCCAGGCTGGAGTGCAGTAGCGTGTTCTCGACTTACTGCAAGCTCCGCCTCCCAGGTTCACGCCATTCTCCTGCCTCAGCCTCCCGAGTAGCTGGGACTACAGGCGCCCACCACCTCGCCTGGCTAATTTTTTGTATTTTTAGTAGAGACGGGGTTTCACCGTGTTAGCCAGGATGGTCTCGATCTCCTGACCTCGTGATCCACCTGCCTCAGCCTCCCAAAGTGCTGGGATTACAGGCGTGAGTCACCGCATCCGGCCACGCCCAGCTAATTTTTGTACTTTCAGTAGAGATGGGGTTTTGCCATGTTGGCCAGGGTGGTCTCGAGCTCCTGACCCCAGGTGATCCACCCACCTTGGCCTCCCAAAGTGCTGGGATTACAGGTGGGAGCCACCACACCTGGTTCCCTAGCTTACATTCTTTTATGCTCGTGAGACCTCAATAGACCTTAACCTCAAACTCTGCATGTTCTCAGCCTGCAGGGACGCCTTTCTCTCCAAAGGGGTGAATCACCTCCACATTTTCTGCAAAGGTGGATCTCATTGCCTCCCCTCCGCCTCAGCTCCCCTGGGTGTCCGCTGTGTGGGTGGAGAATGATTCTTGCTTGGCCTCCAACACACTTTTCCCCATTAGGAACCCACAGAAGGCCGGGCGCGGTGGCTCAAGCCTGTAATCCCAGCACTTTGGGAGGCCGAGACGGGCGGATCACGAAGTCAGGAGATCGAGACCATCCTGGCTAACACGGTGAAACCCCGTCTCTACTAAAAATTACAAAA